AGCCTCATCTCCCTGCCTCTGAAACCACAGGAGAAACGGTATGTATTTGCCTCTGTACTCAAGACCCCAGCTACCTGTTACACAGCGGTGTCACTGGCTATAAACATCAAAGTACCGAAAAGTGTCTATTCATCAGTTCATAAATATGCTGTACCATATGCCACTCCCAAACGTTAAGTGGGCCTTGAATTAATATTAGTACTGATTTTTAAGCTAGAAATAATTTTGGCTTATGATCTCTGCTATTACAAGTTTTTTACAGGGGCATGAGGAAATTTACAACCACTTACAGAATTTGACACTTTTCCTATGATAAAACCAAGTTGAGAGAAATAAGAATAAAGTAAACTACAGCTGAATGCATTTGAAAGATTGAGAACACACTATGGGAATCAGGTGTTTTATAACTGCTGGTTTAAGAGCAGTCAAGTTCATTACCTCCCCCACTCTGAACAAAGCAGGGAGTAGGCTACTGCTACGTACAACAGTAAATTTACTATGAATAGTACAAGCTCGCATATATCCACTACACTTCTATCAGGAAAATCTGAAACACTGGAGTACAATGTGCAATATACTGAACCAATAAGATTAATCATCTCCTGGAACTGTTTATTCTTATGCTATATTCTTTCTAGTTATACAACTTGGGCATTACAATAGATTTTAACACCAAGAAATAGCATTACCAACATGATACTCTGACATCTACATATTCTGAAGAGGTATGACGAGACCGCATACTGAATCCCTTATTTTTGTAACCTGGCACACTGGAATTCATACAGACACATTAAAGTAAAGGAGCAGAATATCTAAAGAAAGGGTAAAATATGAAGCATAGCTAAATATTCCGAAAGTTGAAGCAATTGAGATCATCGGCAAGCAGATCCATATCTGCTTGTCCCTTAAGTTCTTCTTTAATGTGCATATTTATAATCCTTAGCCATACAGCAATAAACCACTGGAGGTCAGGGCATATTTCTTTACTAACACTGCTCAAACCAAGCTAAGATGTAAGAACAAGTTAGTGGTAATCAGATCACACTTTCCAGCTTCCCAAAATAAGAGGCCTGCGTTTTACTATATCCTACGTACAACTTCACATTAGGTTTTCTTTATTTAACTTGTCATCTCTACAGGAAATCCTTTAATCACAGAGGACAAACAGGATTTTCCATGAACCAAGAGGCTGGTTTAGTATGATGCAAGGTTTTTTTAATCTTGTCTAAAGCCTGACTGAGAACACAGCTGTCACAGAAACTAACTTCTACTCAGGAGAAGACTACACCAGTCATTCAGGTTCCTTTTGATCACCTTCCACATCTCCTGCTATCTTTTGATCAGATCAGTTCATTCTCACAGAGGGAAATACATTCCTGACTCAACTTGCATTAGATTTGACCTGCTACTTGCATATCCAAACAAATTTTGTTCTCAAAAATGCTCACTGAATACATACCTAATAAAGAAAATTGGGACACTCCTCCAGCTACTGACAATAGCTTGTTTTTGCAAGTGCGGCCACTTAACAGCATGTTATCAATTCTGAAGTGAACAGTCATCCCACCTATTAGCTTCCCTGCCAAATTACTACAGCTTTTCACAGAAAATTAAATTACCTTGTTAATACACTGCCATTTCAGCAGCAACTGCTCAACATTTTCATACTGCAGGACAGAATGCCTCAACAGACCAGATATTCTTTAAGAACTACCTTTACTACAAATTGAAATTACATTTTAAAACTCCTATGATTTTAAATTTCAAGCCACATTGAGAAATACAAGCCTAAAATTCTAATCTTGTACTTGTGTTCACTGAAACAGTTTTTCTCATGGTATCTGTAGAGTTTTAGTAATTGTTTTCTACAAAAGAAAGCTTATCCATCACTAAAATTTAATTGTAGACACTTATTACTGCTCCAATAGTAGATTCACCATATCTTATTGCTGCAGCTTATTTTGAATGAACGCTGACAGTACTACTAATTTATTTTTAATGATTTTAAAATTGTTTCTCACTTTAATGACCTCATGTTTGCACTTTCTTCTGCTCTCTCAACATTCTTCCAGATATGTCATTTGAGAACACGCTCTCATTTGCCTTTTCTTCTCCAGTTACTAGTTATCATGTCGTTTCACTCACACTTACTCATTCATATTAAAAGCATTATAGCTATTAATATTCCTAACTTCCTTGCTAAAATTGATACCTGTGAATGGATGAAATGCTAAAGGCTCAAATACATACTTCATTTCAGCTAAACACATAGAAAAGCTATCATTTGAAAGGTAAACTTGAAGGAGCATGAAATGTTATCCCAATTCCTCCACTTCCACAGGGTCTTTAAAGCCTGCGTAGCAACAGAGAAATATTGGGAAATCACTGTATAACAGTAGACTGAAGAGAAGATGGGTACATTCTAAGTATCTTTTTCCTATGTTGACAGAAAGCTCCAGAAATTACATTAAAATAGCAGGTACGCTAACGCATTTACCACAGTGCAAGTTATCAACCAAAATCAGAAAAAGTAAGCGTAAAACAGTAAGCACTGAGGTCAGACATCAAAATTTTTTTTTTTTCTTCTGTACTTGCTCAAATGTTACTATCAGCTGAATATTGATGGTGGTCTCCTTGAGGTTGCAGGTAAAGATTTAGAGAGCAGAAATTTGCATTTATATATTTTTCCAACTTAAATTTAGTACAGGGTTCTCTGTCATGTAGGGATTGGAAGACCTCTGATATAAGGCTGAGGGTGCTGGTATTTTTTAATCTGGAGAAGAGAAGGATTCGGGGTGGGCAATCTTATCAATGTGTATAAAAACTTAATGGGAAGAAATAAAGACAACTGAGCCAGACTCTTTGCAGTGCTGCCAAGTGGAAGGACAAGAGGCAACGGGCACAAACTGAAACACAGGAACTCCATTTAAACAGAAGTTTTTTCTGTAAGAGCAGTCAAACACTGGCACAGGTTGACCGTAGAGATTGTAGAGTCTGCATCCTCAGAAATAATAAAAATCAGCAAGGACATCGTTCTGAGCAGCCTGATCTACTTGACCCTGCTTTGAGCAGGTCAACTTAACAATCTCCAGAGGTCCCTGCCTCTGGAGTGAGATAGATTTTGGCTGAGATGATGCTCTACAGATCAGTATTGATCAAATCTTCTACTGAACAGAAAAAATTATCATCTGTTCGGTAACCTCATGCAGCGACAACAATAGTGTCATAACTGAAAGTGGCATAAGACTGGCAACTATACAAGTATACAACTAAAACATACAGCTGTTACTGTATCTATAGGACAGAATAAAAACGTTGCAAAGGAAGCAGCAAGAGGGATGATCTCAGCAGAATCAACCACAGCTGGAATATAATGCCTAAATACATGGAAGAGAGGGCAATCAGCTGGCTAGCCTTTTATTTCAAGGAGGAAGCCCTCATTCAGCCATGCAAACACTGCATCTTTTTTATCCAGTTTCTCTGTAGCTAACACTCAGACTGCATGATGCAGAGGCAGGGTCAACTAGACCGATGGTCCAACAAGGAGGGGCAACTCAAAACTGCATACAATAAGCTCTGGAAACAAAGTGCTCCTGGATTCAGGGTGAGGAATGTGATACCACCATTCCTAACCACCTCCAATTTATAAGTGGGGGTCTGCAGGGTGGCCTCTGTGAGGAGAGGCCTGGGTTGCTGCGTGCTGGACACAGCCAGCTCCAACAGGACACAGCTGAGCCCCTCAGCCAATTTAGTGGCACCTTTGGGAAAACATATGTAAGAAAGGGTAAAAAACACTGCACGGCAGCTGTGAGAGGATTGAAAAAAGTGTGAGAGAAACAGCCCTGCAGACGTCAAGGTCAGCGGAGGAGGGGGAGGAGGTGTGCCAGGTGCCAGAGCAGAGTTTCCCCTGCAGCCCATGGATAAGACCACAGTTGAGCAAACATCCACACTGCAGCCTGTGGAGGACCCCACACAGGTGGGCATGCCCTGAAGGAAGCCGCAGTCTGTGGAGAGGAGCACACACAGCAGCAGGCTCCTGGCAGGAGCTGCAGCCCATGGGGGACCCACACTGGAGCAGTGCGTTCCTGAAGGACTATAACCTGTGGAGACCCATGCTCTTGAAAGACTGTATCCCATAGGAAGAACCCATGCAGGAGCAGAGGAACAGTATGAGGATGAAGGAGCAGCAGAGAAGAACTGTTACAGACTGACCACAACTCCCATCCCTATGGAGAGAACTCACGCTTTTCTTTGAAAATCAGATCTAAAAAGCAACACTTCTGGCTCTACCACTCCACCATTTTCGCAAGTGTATGTTTCTCTTTAAAGAATGAGCATTCTTAGAAGCTCTATTTAGTAACACTTTAGAAATAATGTGCTTAAGATGGAGATACAGGAAGACCGAACATATCACAAAGCTTTTTGTTCAAAGATGAATAGATTTTAAAATAAATGCATGAGAAAAAGGCTTCACCAAGAATACGCCAGAGAAATTAAATGAAACTAATAAGATTACAGTATTACATAATGTCTCCGTAAGTGTATTAACAGAATGCATTCAGGTCAAGAAGGCCCAAGCTAGCCTCAGCCTGCATTTTAAGGACTGGCTGTACTTGACTTGCTCGTTTGTTTTCCAATGCTTCCAGAAAATCTTTAAAATATGAATACAATCAAAATAGCATTCTGCATCTAGAAAGTAAGTTTGCAGGCGCTCGTGTACCCTCAGTTCTAAGAGCTCTCAGAGGAAACTCCAGCTCCTAACAGAAGGTTAGCAATGCTAGAAATCCTCTTGCATCACAAATATTAGCATGACATTATACAGGAAGCCCTTGCTACTTGGCACATTTGTATCTGCATTCCCAGAACACGGAGCGAATTAAAACAGCAGTCACAACAAGTGGATCTATTAAGACACTAATCCACCTTGACTAAGCTGAAAGACAAATGCACAGAGCAGCAGAAACTGTTGAGAAACAGAACACCAGAAGCACACTTACCTAAATTTAAGAAGTCTGAGCTGGAAGAAGGCGGAAGTGAACTGTGTGTGGAAGGAAACGTACTAGCTGTAGATGTTGAGCTTGGATTAAGAAAGTCCCCAAAGAGGTCTGGACCCGACAGGGCTTGATTCTCTGAACTTGATGACATTGTGAATGGGTCAAAAGGATCAGCTAAAAAGGAAGCGGAAAACAAAATTATCTTATGACAGATTTTAGAATAAATGAAGTTGAAAAAGCCTTACTCCTCTGGGGGCACAGACAAAAAGTAGAGTTCACACTGCTAACTGCAGCAGCTTTCTGAGAACTTTTCGTGGCAAAGAGTCATCATCTGTCCCTTCCTCTAGACATCTGTACTTTCATATTGGTACAAAAAATATTTCAGCCATACACAATATGAACAGCTATGTCTTCAAACACAAATCCTTAGCAAGGATGCATATATTCAATAACATTGTTAATTTCATCCATGTAAGACACATGTTAAATCTGAGTGATCATCTGCATACAAACAGAAGAATTACATTTGTTAAATGCTCTATAATTCCAAACCTCCAAAGAATTTAAACAAAACAGACTATTAAACTACTAAAAAGTAAAACATTCATACTACCACTTTGACTCGAAGGCATTGGTGACTCTAGAGCAGAAAGCACGTCAACTCAAGAATGAAAACTAACAGACGCAAGGCTTTCAACAGCTCTCCAGTGATCACAACGAAGAAAAAACTAATTGGAAGAGTATTTATAGTCAGCATGGGGTAACATGTGACAGTCAGCTGGAATCATGGCTCGAGATCTTCCCGCTTCTGCTGCCCTCTAGGGTCAAAATCCTCAAGAGCCCAAGGACTCCTGCCAGATTCACTCAGAAGCTGAAGAGAAGGAATAATCCTGCCATAGTGCCCTTGCACATCCTGAGATGATGACCACATTGCACACGACTCAGTAACACTTCAGAAAACAAACCCTGGATTGTCATCAAGCTATCTTACTATAGCATCGCACGTACACAAAACCTCAAGTACAAGTTTGATGTGCAAACTAAAATACAGTGGCCAAATATTCTCACTTCTGCAATTACCTTTCTCTTATCCAATTCAAAGGTAGAATGAGATACATACATGACTACTGCTCAGGTGTTTTATGGAGTAGATTTAAGAAAGGCATAGTTAGAGAAAGATGAAGTAATAAAGCTTCTCTTTTATAGACTTCTGTCTATGTAAAAAAAGGTAAATTGACTTCCTCATTGACCACAGTAACAAAGTTCAACTGAATTGCTTCAAAGAAAGAAATACTTGAAATCACCAAAACACTCTGCAAAAACACTTTGCAGCTGTATGTAGATTAAAGCTTTTAGTCCAAGTGAACGATCTTTGTGCAAATAAGCAATACTTTGTAACAGTTTCCCAGATTATTTGACTAATATTCCTAAAAATCTTACTGTAACTTCAGGCAGAGAATTGCTATTCCCAAAAGTTTAGTCATGTGACAAAGAGCTAATTGTGCATTGTCAAGAGGAACAGAATCTCTAAAATAAAATACCTTGTTTTAAATACCAAATAGATAGCAGTGTGTAACATTCTCCTGCAGCATACCAACATCAGTAAAACCAGCAAGGAAACACCTTTTAGCAATACTGTTATCCTACTGAACACGATTTCCAGTTAGCAGTCTTATGTGATTAACACTCAAAAATCCCACAGAAACATTTGACCTAAGCAGCACAGCTCTGTACCACATCTAATGCTGTTGCTTTATGTAAAGTGCAAGAAAGCAGTAAGTTATTACAATTCTATGCCTTAGCAAGAGAAGTTATTTACACGTGGATTTAGAAAAGGATCTAGCATGTAATGTTTGTATGGGAAAGCTATGGATTCTTTAAGAATACTGAATCTCAAATTCAAGATTTGATACTTTTCTGTTTACACGGTTTAAAGCTAATATGATATTGGCAACATAACAAAATACCTGGATAATATACATCAATTTGTCTCCTTTATGCAGTCATAACACCTATTCTACGCAAATTCTTGCTACAGACCAACTTCTTCAGTGTACAGATCAAAACATGGTACTCATTTTCTAAGCACAATGCAAGCAGCAGTTTTTATCTGTTGGCCAGCCAAAGAGTACTGATATTAACTTTATGTACCTGAAGACACGGCTGCTGCTGAAGACGTACCCTGAGTAGCAGCTGGACACTGAGACTGACTGCTGAAAAAGAAATCTGTTCCTTGTCCAAGAAGATCTCCAGTGGGCTCTTCTGAAATCTGTGATGCATTACCCACAAACAGATTGTTCAACAAGTCTGCATTACTTGACGAAGAGTTTATTTCTGAGACAGGTTGTTTCTGTTCTGGTGAAATATCAGAGTCTAGTCCCAGTAAGTCTACATTCTCTTCAGGAAGAGATTTTTGTAACGGTGCAGATGGAGCTTCAAAATTGGCTTCAAAAAGCAACTCTCCTTCTGGAGTAATGGAGTCTTTTTCATCAACAATTACTGCACTTTCTTCACCTGGAAATGTAGGGAATTCCTCATCTGAAGGATCACTCTCCTCCCTGTCATCCGATAGTTGAACACCATCATTTTTAGATGAACTGTCCTCTATTCCACTTTCCGGACTTTTTCCTTCTTGAATAAAAAGAAACAACAGCTTCAGATTACCAGGATTCTTCTGCCAACCAGGATATAACAGACTGATATGGGGAGATGATATGAAATCCTTAATTAATCAAAGTTCACAAAAGAATTGATCAAAAAAGAAGAACTAACATTGCCTACCACCTCTTTGTACAGGGCAGGCAAAGGGGCAGCTCACTACCATACTTGCCACTCTGCAAGGGCAGGTATTACAAATTTTTTCAAAATGAGACGAATTTGGACATTCATCTCAGGACATCTACCACTTACGACTTAGAAGATCACTCAATAACTGCTGCTCCACTCAATGACAGCATTCAATGACAGCATATGCAGTTACTGACATTTTTGCCAACAAAGCAGAACCCAGAAAAAGGACTTACACATGCACTATAAAGTTACATTTTCTCAGTCCGTACATACTCATCTGGACCCCACTGGCTAGGCTACTTTGTTTCCTCTGTTCCTCAGCCAGCCTAAGTGGGGCTGTGGGAACGCAAAGGCTTCCTTGCAGATCTATAAGGTTAAGATTTTTTCAGGAAAAAGGAAAATTTAGCGTTTAAGTAACACACAATACTAAAAAACATTACTTGGTGTTTATCCAAATGAAGCAGAATGACCACTTGTTAACCTGCAGAGCTCACTCTTTAAATAGTTTTTCTCATGGTCTGGTGAAATAGTGACTTTTGCTGTATAAGAAGGCTTAAGCACTCATTGGAAAGTGTACAAAACAACAAACATACAACAAATAGTTACTTCAGAGGAAAACCTGTACCTTTCCAGTCCAGAGAATGGAAGAAGTTATTTGCATCAGTACTACTGCTGTGTGGGGATTCTGTCTCAGTAGGTGCACTTTCTGAAGACTGCTCCAGCTGGGATGCTTCTGCTTCATATTGTGCAGTTGAACCTGGTTGTCTAGGCAGCTCCGGTTTCCCTATAAGATAGATTTTAAGCCAGAACCCTTAAAGCGAAACTTCTAAAACCCAATCCTGGTCATAGCAGCTGGTATTAGACTTGCAGACTGACTGCTATAGCAAGATAATTGTCTTAAAGTATCTATTATTTTGCAAAGGCAAATTCTTGCCCCCATCCCCCCATTTAAAATTAGCATTAACTTCGTTTCAACTGCAAAGGCTGGTAAGACCCTAGGTGCATCTGTAACATTAAATTGAATTAGACTCATAGCAAAACGCTCAAGCATTCTATTTACATCTGTAGAAAAATGGAATTAACACCTCACTTGTAACAACCATCCCCTAAAATAGGCAAGAGCTATGAATAACATCTGCAATAAGGAACAGAACACCAGAAAAGAGCCAACGCAGCTATAGAAAAAACCCAGAGTATAAAGCCAGAGAAGAACATGGAGTTGTTAAACACCTCTAAGGAGTTCAGTAACATACTGTGTGCTGCGATTAACTACTCCTTACATTTCTTCTTCTACTGAGATCAGACATTAAGTGACTTGTGTAAGACTGAGTTGGGCTGAGTTACCTACTCCTATACCATCTCTGAAAAAGGAGGTTTCCTCAAGGCAAATGAGACAACTCACTAAATTAATAAGTGTTCACCCACTGTTTGAAAAGAATGGGATGAATGCTTGACAGAAAACTATTTGTCTAAATCTAAATACCAAACTGGTAGAGCATTTTTTCACCCTCCTTCCACATACTCCGTTGCAGCTTACAGAGATACTGAAAAAATAGTCTGTCACAGAAAACGTACATGAAAGATCATGTTAACGAACTAGTGCAAATTCAATTTTAATACAGCAAGTTTTATAAAACAAGTTCACAGCACTTGCTCTTGTCCTATTCCTTTCCCACCAGTTTTAAGAAATATTTTCAATGGAATTTGAAACCCTTACATTTCATTTATCAATCGGAAAATGAACGTGACTTAAAAAAATAAAGGTAATTTTTACAGATCCTCATTACCAATGAAACACCTTAACTTTAGTGAGCTGAGAGTTGTGTTCACAGTAGGATCTTTAAAACCTATATAAACCAAGTTAAATAGAAAATGACCTAAATCGTAATACAAACCAAACATATCCTGCTAAAAAAAGATAAGACAGCAACAACTACCTTGTATCAAAAGGAATGTAATTACGATGTACCATATTAAAAGCAGAGAGTAAGATCTCGTGTATGGTGTACTAAAAACACCACAATAATCTCCATCATGCTTTTTATCCTGGAAGCACAAAGCTGGCTTAAGAGCCTTAATGAAAATGTCAGAGCTAATTACTGATACCAGAAGAGGAAGAAAGATACTGAACAGCACTAACTGGAATTAATGCAGGAATCTACAGATGAAATACAGAATACGTGGTATTAAAAAAATTAAACATCTGCCACATTGACCACACTAAGAAAAGTTGAGAAATTGAATTACAACATTACTTGGCTATGCATAAGAAGGATCTCTATAAAAACATTCTTAGTTAAGACCACCATTTGTGAGGAACTGATGTTAAGTGAAATGATAATGGTGCCAGTTTAGCTAAGTGTAGCTCTTTCAAGACATTTTGCCTACAAATCCTGGCTGTCGCAATTCCATTTGCTAAAATCCCTGCAAATAACATCTTCATAGCTTTAAAGCAAGCAAATGTAATGACAGCAGAGGTAAGATAAGGATAATTATAATTATTGGAGGATCATTTATACTCTTTCATACAATGCAAATTTTTAAGTGATATTTAGAAAAAAACACCTTTTAAATTTCTTTCACATAAAGGAATGTCAGAAATTAAACAAAAGCCTCAAACACTAAATACGTCAGAAACTTTATCATGTTCTCTAGTTTTTCAAAAGATTCATTACCAAATTTTGATAAAATCTCCTGTTGTTCCTCTCGGGTGGAGAAAAGGATCTTGGGATTCAGTCCCTTTATATTCATGTTATCCCATGGTGGCTGTTCACAGCTAGGTCTATCTCTGGGCTCCACCTCTACTTCCAGATTGACTTGAAATAAGTCAGGATATTTTTCTTGTATGTCACAGGCATCCAGATCATACCTACAAAGATGCATAACAAGTAGATTCTTGATACTGATGGCTAACTAGATTAAATTCACTGCAGTCCAAAACAGAACTTTAAAGCAATTAGTATTAGGCTTAAAATGCTGTATTTGTTTACTTTTTTCATATATTTTAAACAGATGGTATTTTGGTACAGAAAATTTTTTGCATCATGAACAAAACCTTCACTTTCCTTGAGGTAAGAAAACAAAAGAATCTTCTTACTGCAATCAAAGTCATCTACTTCCTACACTGGCTATATTTCCTGCCCCCACCATATGTTGGTTTGGCAGGTTAAGCGGTTTCAAAGAAAACTTCCTCCAGTCTCCTACAAAAGGGTGTCAACGTACTTGGCAAATTTCACTGTGGTGGCATTTCGGGGCACAAAACCTGTGTGGAACTGAATCTGAAACATCTTCATTGAAGCCATCTGTTGAAAACAAGAAATACAGGGAAACTGCATAAATCCACATGAACAGTATACGCAGTGTTCTGCCTTTAATACAATGTGAAGTATTTTCAGTATTAAAATAAAGTGTTTGTTTTGCTACCATTTCAGTTAATTCCATGGATACTTTATCTTGAGAGATTTAAATGCAGTTTGAGACAGAATGTAGATAAATCTATTACTACAGAAACAAACCAAAAGACCTTGAACCAGATACCTCTCATCACTAAACTCAAACAGACTGTCAAAGTCTGTTAAATATTTCCAGACCCTGTTTTAGAGGCTGAAACTGCATGACCCTTATTACTTTTCTGAATAACATACACTCAGAAAAACTCACTGTGCAATACACTAATCAAGAAATGTACGTCATATATAAAGGAGTCCATTCAGAACAGTTTTAAAGGTAGCACATTTAAAAGGACACTACATAAGACATGCAAAGGGTTCTTTTTCCTGTGCAACTCAGCAAATCATTCCAGACAGAATTGTAGAGCTTTTCCAAACTGATTCATTATAACCATTGAACTTTCTCAACTCTCTTCTGCTGACAGAAAAACTACTTCCCCGTGCCTGATCAGCATGTGAGAATCCAGAAAATGCTACTATAGAACGTTCATGTAGCTCCTGGTCTTGCACAAATCCAAATTACAGCAAACCGACAAATCCAGAATGTTTTTTTTTCCTGCCTTTAGTTACAACACACGTGGAATACGTGCCAGTCCTTACACAGCAAGTCATACAGTAATAGTCCAGTAAATATGATATAATAAAATTGAGTGATGAGAAAGCTTTCCTTGTAAATGAGCATTTACTGAACATCATAACCAGAAGTCAAGTAACAGGCAAAGCATTGCCAGCAGGTTGAGGGAGATGATCTTTCCCCTCTATCCAGCACTGGTGAGACCACATCTGAAGTCCTGTGTCCAGCGCTGGGCTCTTCAGTACAAGAGAGATATGGACATACTGAAGAGAGTTTCTCTGATCCACCCATCCCTACCCTGAACTACATATGAAAACCTGAATATCCTATTAAATCAGTTTTCTTAATTCCTTGCTATGCAAGACATTTCCCAGAAGATAAACTAAATCCTCGCTCAAATTAACTGTGAGCAAGTGGGAGACATTCACAATGCCCAGCTCTAGGTACTTAACAGCAATATTGAAATGTGGTGGTTGATCTCCATAAGAGTTCTGCAGGGAGCTTCAGGGGGTGATTTAGAGTACATAAAACTAAGGACACATTGAATATTGTTCCATCAAAGTTCCAAACTAGGATCATCACAAACACTGTTGAGGTATCATGTGTTATAGCAGATGGATGAGAAAATTCAAATCTTTTCCAATTAGTGAATATATGCCAGAGAAATCACATCAGTGAAACCCTATCATCAGTGAAACTGAGTTTGCACAAGGAGTATACGATAACCTCGGCTGAATTTTCCCCAGTTGTATGCTTTCTTCACTGATGACCTTGAACCATACACTAGTTATTTTTGTACATTAGAGAATCATTTCCCTGAGCTTTCAGTTTTAGGATGTTCTGGAAGATCTGGCCCCACAGCACTCTGGGGACATTACAAAAGTCTTGAACCTCTGCAACATGACAAGATTTGATACCCACCTTCCTACACACAAAGTAGAAAAAACACAGGGAAAACCATTTATTTCTGTAACAGTAGATATGTATGAATATGCTTGCTTGCCCCAAATGTATGGAAACTGTCTGAAGAACCTCTGGATCAATTTTCACAATGCTCCAAGTTATCCTAAACTTTGCACAACCCCTTCTCCTATCTCTTACATGAATCTCCAAGTTTAATTTGGGCTACTTATCTGGAGAAAAAAAAAAAACATGCTTTTTTAGAAATTTCAAGACAGGCTTCATTAGCAAGTTTTTTGTGATCTTGCAATGCATTTGCATCCATAGTTGAATTAAAAAAAGGAAAAACGCATTCTCCCTAGGAAAACAAAGACTGTAAGAAAATTGGCTATAAAAACTCAGCCTGGCTCTAGAAATAAGGTGCAAAACCACAGGGATTTTTCTAGCCTATTTTGTACAGGCAGTCCCTGGAATTCAACTTTTCTATTGAGCGATATTTTTCCTTTTGTTGCAGTTTGTGTGTCCAGAATTAAGAAGTTCTGGCTTTTTGTGCAACTTAACAGATAACAATCACTGCCTCAAAAAACTGGCTAGAGGCTTTCCATGGAAATACAATAACTACCATTACTGAAGTAATTTCCAGAAATGCTTACCAAAGCATCTACATGCAGAGCACTAAGAATGGACATACTTATTAGGCTTCAAAAGGCTGAATTCCCAAGTACGTAAGAACTTCACACATTTCTTTCAACGAAGAATAGCAAATAAAGGCACGTACTTAATGAGATCACAAATACAAGTATGATACAAAACTGCAACAAGAAAAAGCAAATTTAACAGCCTACATGGAGCATTTATCATTACCTTGGCTTGTAGTCGGCCTCCTAGTGTTGACCTGGCATGATAGATCACAATGAGAACATCTCCCTGGACTGTTATACCTAGTGGAATTACGGCCTTCCCATCCTCAATTCTAAACTCCCTGAAGAAAAAACATAACCACAGTTAGTTTCATTTTAAAAAAATAGTGTGTTATCTTATGTTTAGTTTGGTTTCTCTAAGGCCTTCAATATCAACCCATAAAAATCTGCTTCAAGTTCTTACTACAGAGAAGGAGTTAGCTCTAAATGATTAAAACTTAAAAGCTGCTCTAAAAATAACAAGATTAAGAGTTGCCTACAGCAGAGCAACAGACATATTTAGACCCATAGTTCTCAAATCAAACATGGGAGAAACATGTCTTCAAGGAGCTGCTGGGAAATGCAAGAGACATGATATTACGAAGAAAGCTTTTCCAAAGAAAGGTGCAGAGAGAAACTGTAGCTGCTCTGCTGTGGTATGTTAGGACTCCCATTGAGGGACAGTGGTAGAGAAAAAGAGGGGAAAATGTTATTGTAACACCACACAGCTGTTTCTGTTCCTGCTCTCTTCAAATTCATTAAAGTCCTTACAGGGCTTGGATTTACGGGAAAGCTGTAAGGACTTTGGTATTCTCTCATCTTTCCTCTGTCTGTGACTATCTAGACCTAGTACTGCTAGTACCCTTTGCAATTCCTGTGCTGTATTACAACAGCAGACACCAGAGCTGTCCAGGGGCTAATAAGCACTCCCCTTCCAGCTACCATGCCGTGGAGGATCCTTACTGTTTCCATGACTGAGACATGACGTTCAGTTCAGTACATGTACACCAGGGATTAATCTTCCTAGTTGACACCACATGGAGTGACAGGAAAGAGGGTCTTGCTCACCTCTGCCTCCCAGTGCCCACTGTGTCACCCCACCGTCATCCCCACTTTCTGCAAGAACAGATGCAAGCTGCTACTATAACCATGTCGTCTCTTCCCCATGATTTACCTTTCAAGAACGGCTAAAAGGAGACAGAGGAGCTGTTCTGTATGTTAAAGCAGCTTTCTGCTCAACTGGCACATGCAAAATCATGCTTTCTCCTCATAGTAAGGACTTCATATTTCAGTTAGTCTACAAAAATATAATGTGCTCTTTCAGAGCAAATCATAACCTATACTTACTTCATTTTGTCATATTCCTGGGATGTAGTGGTTACTCTCTCATCCCCAACGTAAACTTCACAAAAAGGCCTGCAGCCATTACGCTGCTTACTGAAAAGAGGAACTGGAGTCATGACGATTGATCTGACAAGAATGGGCTTGCTGTGAGGAATGATGGGTTCTTCAGCCATCATGTCACACATGTATTCAATGTATCTGCCAAAACCAAAAGGTACTCATTTAGCCAGAGAACCAAATTCTAAAAATGGGTGAACGCACAGGTGAGTTACTTCTGTTCATACCCAGCCACTAAGCAGTGACAAATGATAACAGTAAAACACTGGGAACACTTAACAGCACTTCCAGCAAATGGTTTTCAAATCTGATAGATTTCACAAAAGGAAAATGAAATAGAAACATGGAGAAATACTTAAGATCCCTAGCCAGCCTCTCAATTTAAGGACAGCAATACAGGTTCTGTATAAAAGCCTGATGGCTGCATCACAACTCAAAAATATACTGCCCAGAAACTTGAATACAGCACTGCACATGAATTCATCTGCACCTGTGTCCCACCTTGCAGACAACTCCAGACATTGCCTTAGGTCTGTAGCTTTACATATATTCACTTTTAAAACAAACTAGCCACAACACCGAACTAGGAGAACTATTTATTTTGTATCTTACACATAATGGATCAAAGTTACACAGCGGTTCTCAAGCTAGTAACTCAAAGCTTCCTAAAGGCTTTAAATTAATCCTCATTAATATACATTATCTTGTAGAGGACCCGTTAAATATACTCAAAGTAAATCTGTACAACAGCATAATCTGTCATTTATACTTAGCTAATCCTTACTTCTCACCTTTCTAAATCTAATCCTTTTTGTAGGAAACACCCTTACTACCAGTGTCACTTGCTACTGAGACTTCATTGTTATAAGATCTATCAAATTAAATCAAATAATCAGTTTAAAACATTTATCAAAGTATATGAAAGTCACCTCTGCATGCACTTTAAAAAGCAGAAGGCATTCTTACCTAAACAGAAAACATTGACAGAAGTCATTATTGGTTTTTCCACAGAACTTGCAGTGTTCTGACCTATTATAATAAACTAGTAAATATGGAATAAGTCTTACACATATGGAAGAGGATTTTATACTTAAGAGAGCATTCAAAAGCATTGCATACCCTTGTTTTCATTCCTAACAGTTCTTCATTCCAGGTCATACTTGACTCACTTTTGATAAGAACAGCATGAGTAACTTAAGGGCTCACAAAATTCCAAACTACTTTCTCTACTCATGATACATCCATTTTTCCAAGTATTTTGCTGTTCGAACACAAACACTATTGAAATAATTTATCTTCCTAAAAAGCATCCTATAAAAATAGTAGCATATTCAGAATTGCATAACTACTTTCTTCAACAGTACCCCACAAACAGATGAATACCGTACCTTTTATGAGAAGGCCAAATGCCAGGAGGACAGCGTTTCATACTGAACATATAAACTGCAGCTTCAGCAGTAGTGAAGAGACGACAGAAACACAGAAAAGAACAAACTACAACAGCAGACGCTGCTCTTCCATCCTACAAAAAAAATTGTAACTTTGTTATTAAACCTCGTGGAAAAAGCATTACAGAAGTTACTAAAGAACATGTTGTCTCCTTATTTAATGTAATGAAGCCCGAGGTCTAGTTGTGATCATTAGATTTGAAGTTTGTATCTGAATGTGAAATGTTTTCATTTGATTTCCACAGAATACAAAAGATACTACATACTATCTGCTTGCTCAAATGTGAATAATTGCTTTGGCTTAACACTTTGAATTTTGCAATTGATCTTTATTGCCTTACTATCACTAATACCCATTTTTAAGTTTGTTTTCTGGCTGCTACCTGAAACCCCAGTTCGGTGATATTTTTGGCTGATAACCATGGACTTCTGCCACAAGAGAAGTCCTAAGATTCAGAAGAACTAAGCCACACTAAACTCTTTAGTCTTCTGACTAAAACTGCCTGAGATTAATAGCTGCCCATGGGACTAAGAGAAGGAAATTAAAACACTGAACCTCTTTCTGCAAGGACCACGGCTACACACATCCCAGATTCATCCCTACATTATGAAAGACTGAAGATTCAGAAAAGGTAATGGTTGACAGAACAGGACCTCTCAAGTTTTTTTGCTCACAACATGGAATGGATTTTTTTGTAGTCATTTGGCATGTGAGTGTGAAAGTGGGGAAGAAGGAAATGTTTTTCCTCAACTTGTTGTAACAGGCATTTCCTTCAAAGTCAGGCTTCTATTCTAACCATTACTTAGATCAATGAAAAGAAGGTCTGCCAGCACCATAAGAGTCAGATCTTTAAATAGTGGGTTCAGCAAATCGATATTATTACTGCTGGTGTAACTAGCAAGCCCAACAATTTCCAGAAGTCACTAAACTAGCCTATGACTCTATGGGCTGGACCCTGCCTTTCAGCTAAATTTCACAGAGATGTAACAAAAACATGGTCCCTACCCTGACACCTACACTTAGGACAAAACATTAATGAATACAAGGGAAGAATGAAACAATACTAATCAGCATGACAAGCAGCGACCTATGTACACTTGCATTACAAAGCCGCTTCCAAATTAAAGCACCACACTGAGGGGAGAAAAATCATTGTACAAAGAGGTCAGCAAGCAAGTCACAGCAAACCCTTTGCAACCATGGCGTGAAGTCTGAGGACAACTTCACAAGACTTTAAAGACCACTTTACAACCAGAAATACAGCATTCAAAATAAACAATACCTTATTGATTAGTAAACAAATCTGATGACAGAACCTTGCACTTCAGAAAGAAGCTTGGCAAGTTGCAGAATGGGAGCAAAAGAAACACTCCCATACAGAGACGAGACAGTAAGAATTTCAATTTTTCCTTGTATGTTTTTACAAAGATGATGGATCTCAGCTACAAAAATAAACAATCCTCAGGCATAAACAATCATTAAGGAAACAATAAAAAACAATGATTGGAAAAAGCTGGATTTTGAGCTTAAGTTTTGTACCAAAGCCTCAAAAAGCTAGAGGAGTTTTGTGTCTAAACTATATTGAAAAGAAATAAACCTCATCAAAGACATTGAACATAACTTTTCCTAGTGTGTGTATAATTATCTTAACTTGGTTCATTTAAACACAGGTTAAATACAGCTATCTGAAGGAACCCTTAAGCACATTTGAAGAGCTGCAGCATATCCAGTTGCAAGTCTCTCTGCCATTATCTTCCACCAAGATGATCTTGTACTTACACCTTCTTAAAGCTGTGCAAGTTTTCAAGTATGAACATCACTGCATGGCCCCAAATAATGACACAGAGCAAAGTGTTACTGCAGACAACCAGGAGTTACTCCAGCCTCTGGCATATGTCCTACAGTCTTGCAATATCAACAGAATAGGATGCCAATTAAAAACAGATCCCAGTCATTGCCAGTCCAGAAAGACTTAACTATAACTGAAGCAGGGAGCTGCCATTTAAACCTTGTTTTCAACTGCTTGTTCTCACCCGGACCACTCAAATTACAATGTAAAAATGTAAATTCATTGCATTATTGCAAACCTCTACAGTAAAGATCAGAAGACCAGGAAGCCCTACCTGGTTCTGAATCCCAGCCACCTAGAGGCAGTTTCACTTTTACAGGAAGCAACTCATGTTTTGTTATCCAAGAAAGTGTATTGGACTAAAACATTGTATCTCTACCAGATAGAGCATTCTTTTCAACCTAGATTTCCTAGCCTACAAATCTACAAAAATTTCCAGCTAGATGAATCCAAGACACATATTGCAGCTATCATTCATTTCCAGTAGTTCTGGTGTATGCTCTTCACATCACATCTGGCATGCAGCCATATCATATACAAGCTTCCCTCACACATGAGGAAAAGAAATGAGCTAGGTATCTTAAAAGAAACACTTCAAGGTAAAGATGTTAGAAAAACTGCTGCTAATTCATCACATCCGCTTCTTACCTACTTGATGTGATACTGAGATACTATAAGTATCACTTTAATACAGAATTAGATTTCTAACCTCACAACAGCACTGGAAGTCCCATTGGTTTTCAGGAGCTGGTGTTAACTGATTTTTTCCTTTAAAAATTCTGTCTAAGGAAGTACACTTTGCCAGATTAGCAAATCCTCTTTTACACTCTAATAGTGATATTCTATATAGACTCCTATACCATATCAAAGGACCGGTTATGAATGCTTTTCAGCAGCATCATAAGCATTGTAACAACTGTCATGTTTCTCTTTTTACTGCACAGGAAAATAAGGATGTCAAAATTTTGCATGCAATTCCCTTACACAAACATCAAAGTAACCTCATGTTTTTACATCTTGAACATAGTAGCTATCCTTTAAATTCATTTTTCCCCCCATGTTTGACATGAGGTAGCTCTTTATCAAGAGTTTTATTGCTTTTGGGTTATATCAAGGTTAATGATAGTTAGAGAACAGTGGTAGTTACACAACAATCTGCTGCCAGCAACAGCAAGTTCCACCAAAAGTCTCATAGTCAGTTTCTGCAATTCTGCGTATAGAGATTACACTCTAAATGGACAGTAGTGGGAAATGCAGTGTACACCCAGCTGTCACTCAGGAAACATGAACAAAAAATAGAGCAAACACTGAAATAGTAGAGCATATTCTTTCTCCCAAAGGCTACTTTACCTTAATCACTCCCATATACTTCCCTCCATGCTACATGCAAGTAAGCATTATCCTACTATTTTGCGTAAGGAGAAAATTTATGCAAATAACTTTCCTAAAGACATAGAAGGATGCAATTGCCCCCTGTCCTCACAGTAAAGAAAACCACTAATATTCACAAACTGAGTGGATACTAGCATCCTTATTTACAATTTAAAGCTAGATTGAGCGAAGCACTTCAGACTTAAACCAGTTTCTTACAAGGCAGTGCACAATGCAAACATTTTTCTGGTCTTGTTTCAGCCATAAATGCATGTTCTTGCATATGCTATAAAGATTCTGAAGATTTGGTGCTCGTCTTGCTGGCCAGCCACATTCCAAAACCTGCAATAGAGACAGTAGAGGTGAGAAACTAGATTACATAGTCACATACATTTGCATAGCATAAACTGTGTATATAAGAGGCAATTTTACACTTCAATGCCACCTTCAGGTAGAAATTAAGCAAGATGCTCAAGAAAAGTAGTCTCACACAGTGTAAGCACCACTTTATAGGATGAAGTGCAGTAAAACTCCAGTCCTGTCTATGGTCTGCTGCACTAGAAGTATCAACAACTCAGATTACTTTCTGAAATTTTCTTAGAGCAAAGTAAAACAGCTTTCAACTTGATTTGTGCACATATTTTTAAGCAAAAAACCAGAAAGACTTTGTTTTTACTTTTGTCCTTTATTTGAAGAGCCTCAACAGTTAAGTAATATTCCTTCAGCAATTAGTGCTATAAAACACTACCAAATAATCAGCTTCAGTACTGAGTCTCTATATTCTTAAAATCAGCTGTCCAGTAAGAATGCAGTGTATGAAACCTGATGCTTGAGCACTTGCAACCCCTAAAGAGTGTATGTTCTGCCAGGACCAAGGAAACAAATTACAAAGCAAGCTTTTTCTATTTCCTTTTAGCCAGGACCGCAATTACTGAATGTGGAAGACCAAGTTTTGCTATCAGCAACATGTTTTCTTACCCAGATAAAAGAGTTCAAGGGTTACTCTGAGATGAATTACCTGAACTGACTGAGTAAAACAAAAAATTCTTAGTGAGATTGTTTTTGTGCCAAGCTCAGGAAAAAAAGGCTGAAACAAACAGTCTGAAATACAAAGTCTCCTACAGCTTTTCACTGTTTTCTAGTATTTTAATTAAAAGAGAAGGCAGTTTCAGAAGGCGTCACTTTGTGAGAGATTTAAATTGAACTTTCTTTTGTTAGTGAAAGCTTATGCAAAGTCACCACTGAACGAATAAAAGCTAAGGCAAGCAGTCCTGTTCACCACAGGATTCAGTGAGGGCTTCAGTACATTTCAAATATTACAATAGCAGCAAAAGAATCATATTGCAGCATGACAGCTACAAACCAGAATACAGTCTAGAAAAGCAGATGTATTCAAAAAAGCAAGAAGAACTGACTTTTTTTCTGATTTACTGTTTACTTTCTGCTCAAACATTAGTTGTGTTACAAGATGTATATGTTTTAAGCTCAAAATGTTCTGATCATTAGCAGAATGATGGAGAGTGCACAACCTCCTTGAGCAACCTAAGTCCTAAATAGGACTCAAAACTAGCAGAGAAGACTTCAAAGCTACTATTAACTTTAACCAAGGTTAAAGAAATTTATGTAAGTTCCATACAGATAGCATACAGCAAGAAAGCAAGAATATGTAATACCATGAACACCTACTAAGCAAAGTGTCAGAATTAAGAATTTCAGAAGCTGTTCTCCTCTGATCAAGTTTAAGACTTGCCGTAATCACCTTTTGCAGGCACTAAAGGAAAACTAAGTTTCCTTAGCTTCCTACATGCCTGCTCTCACCCAGCACTGAATAATGAAGTTAAGTCAGTCAGTATTGCTCATTGTGCATCTGGATTTCAAAGATGGACAGGGAAAATTTCCCCAATATATTTAGAGAGTTTGTTTTCCAAGTAAAATAGCTGCCTTTTTTGTTTTTAAACAGAAGACAATGTTTTGTAGAAACTTCCTAAATACCCCCAGCCAATAAAGTGGGCAGGAACCTACAATGTTTTGACAATTTATGATCTATTATTACTTCCCAGCAAAATAAAGATTGTAAGACAAAATGAATGTCAAAAAGATAGATGTAGACCAGAAGAGTTTCAGATCACTGGTAGATTTAGCTGTGCTTATACTACCATTCACAGTACTAATACATCAGGAACATCAATGTATAGGCACCTCAGACTTGCATAACCAAAAAACCATCCCCAGGGAAACAATTTCCCAGTCACAGAATTTATCATTCCATAAACAGAGATTGATAACTTTGTAGGATGAGGAATAAATCAGTTCACTGTCAGCCTCAGTGGACTTTCCATGAACCTAGTGCTAAAAAGCATTGCTGAAGGTTTTTCTTTGAGGTACCTGCTCCAAATAATCAAGCAGGTTTTCTGCATGATTAAGCTTTGCCTTCCACATTGAACAGCCTCAGCCTGAACCTCATACTGAACCAGATGCAGATAAAGAAGTTTATTGCCTCCACCCAAAGAGGCAGTAACCATTTTTTCAGGTGTGACAATACTTTGTCTTGTCTACAAGTTTACAAGGAAACAAAAAGAAGTGACAAGCACTAGACAGCCTATATTAAACATACCTCAGCTTGACAGTTTAAGTGAACTTGGATAACTGAAATAGTGTTAAGGATGGCTCTGCAGCATAAGGCCCAAAAGGGGGTTCCTGTAATGCTTCTAGACTCTCCTCTGGGCAGTCAGTATTGTGGGGAAGGGGCATGATCACTACAGACTGTTTAGGTGAGGTCTAATGTGGCCAGTGCCAGACAAGTCACAACACAGTAACAGTCTCCACTGTTGAGCTACTTACAAGGCAGTTGAGCTGTATTTAGAAATAGACACTGAAGTCCAGCATCTCAGCACATAACAAGCTGTCCTCACTACCTTGTTACTGAATTAGGCAAATGTCTTCATTTCAGTATCAGAGAAATAGCCAGAAAGGTTAACGGAGGCTCAGCTAAGCTATACCAATACTTCAGGCAGTAGCAACAAGCAATAACTAGGGCTGAGCTACATGGGAGTCAAATGGCATGGAGTGGGACAAGGAGAAAGTCCAGTAAACAGGTTGTGCAAATCAGTCGCCAAAGGAGTACTACCTTTGATAAAGGAAGAGCTCTGAATGAAGGGAAGATTGACATTTTAATAAGATCTTTAATTATGTTAAGTATTCTCCATTTAAATCTGAAACATGTAAGGTACCGGTACGTGTTTTCAAAGATATTACCAGCCTAGGAAACACAGACTTTAGTCAGTAAGATTAAAGATTAGTCTTTAATCAGTTAAGTTTGGATTGAAAGAAAAGACAAGCAGAATATAGGTTACTCTTTGACCTTATGTTTATACTTATTCTTTTGCGATCTTTTTGATTACTAGCTTACTTTAACATATTTCACAATAAAAAGCTGAAGGTATAATCAAGACATTGTGTTGAAAGACTACTTACAGAAATACACAAAAACTATACACACCCTATTATGGAATCTTGAAGACCTGTATGTTCTTGGAGAGAGATTGTATACAGCATAGTGGCCAGGATGTTTGGAATCTAGACATAACCGCACATCTTCTATGTTATTTTTGATGGCAGATTCTACACCTTCAGCTGGAAAGGACATCACTGAAGACAGAACAATAAACACCAGGTGAAGTATTCACTTTTTTCATATATTAAGAACAATCAGAAATTATCCTGAAGACAGACATAGCTATCATACCAGCAATTCTGGAAGTGATGTATGATATATCCAAGTCTCCTTTTGCATAACTGAAACAGAACACATTGGAATTAATACTGGGAAATAGAACCATTCAAGCCATAAGTCTAAAACCCAGGTGTCTCAGGCTACACCCATTACCATGAATAGCATTTCATTTCTTCCATTTGAGGCTTGTTACCTCACACTTTAAGGATTTCAGAATAGACATTGTATTTGAACAGTTACTCATTTACATCAGTTGCAACAAAACCATCTCTGGGATCTTGTACAAATACCATCAATGTTTAACTCATTCCTCTAGCCCCTGCTCTTACTGATAAACATTCATTGTAAGTATCAGTTTGAAAGCCTAATGAGGATGCATTAACATCTTTAATGGAGGACATCATAATGCTTAAAACAAAGACCATTTGTTGAGACATTACATTTTAAATTATGTAACTCTGGTGTGTTACTATCTGGCCCAGATGGCCATGCCGCCCAATTTGTGAATTCCATATGAATAGAGGGTACCTGAATCTTTCCTCATTTAAATCATTCCTCCAAAAATTCAATTCCAAAACCCCCATAGTGAGCAAGGCATTAATGATTACTTATCTCTTTCTCATATAGTTGTGCACAGTTCTAAAGAGAAGCCTTTTTGAAAAATAATCTCCTAGTGATTTTTTTTTTTTGTATTTAGGTCCATTCCCTTCATCTCTATCTAATCACCCACATTATGCCAATAATTTACTATTTTAAGACCACTATTGTTTTTTTGTTTCTAGGGTATCTGCTATGTAGCAGGACACAAAAACTTGAGAAAAAGACTGAAGAGCTCCAGCACAGGCCAACACCCTTGAGTGTAATCTCATAGGTCTGCACTCCTGACTGGCAAAATAAGAACAAAGCTCACCTACAGAATTTAGTTTAGACATCCCTAACTTAAGTAAGTCTGTAGCATATTATCTCCAGAATATCAAAATGTCATCACAACACTACGATGCATGTTTAAGAAATGCAGAAGCACTATCAAACCAATGCTTTTTTATCTATAAAGTTTCAAGACACTCCTTGAAAGAGCAGACCTAGGATACGGCACTCAAATTTTGAAACATCAAGAGAGAACATTATGCTTTGATTCCTTACAGCTTGCTAGTAAACATGAAGGAGGCTGGAGGCATTGATTAAAAGAATATTGAATTTACAAGGATTGGGAGGAGGATTTTAGATAAGGCAAGAATAACTGTTCTGAAAGCAAGGATATTAAACAATATTTATGTGGAAGGGCATAATCAGCGTCCTAGCAATTACAATGACCCAAAGACTCAAGAGAAATTGAAATCACCACAGGGAAGTTTGAGAATCTTACTAGACAAAAAAAACTCAGCCTTGAAAAATCTTGCATAAGGAGGTAGACAAAATGGCCAGATAAACACTGTTTCAAAATTCTTTGCACATTTGGAAGGACATAACTTCATCATGTAGCTCAAGTGGTAACACTGTTGCAGACAAACTAATTAAGGCAGAAATTTACATTCAGAGCTAATCATGATTTCTTACCAAAATTAGTGATGAGCACAGTCCTTTATATCATTCAGAAGTGTCAAATGTTATTTGTTGCTTACACCCACCAGCTTCAAGGAAGAAAACATGCAGATCATTCTAATGATACCAACTTTTTTTGATACCAGGATAAAGAACCACCTAATACGATAGTCTGAGAACAAAGAACCATTATTTCTTCAATGCTGTAACAGTGAGGTTAAGCAGCAACTTGAAACAGAAGCACAGAACTATTAAGAGCAAAAAACCAATAGTCCTCACACCCATTCGTTTGGGAACACTTTCAGATACTGACTTCTTATGGCAACACCACTTAATTCAGCTTTGCTTTTTACATTTGTCTAAATTAAAATGCAACATTACTAGGAGCATGGATCTCACCATACACATTGCTGAAGAAGTGCAGCTTGATATGTCAACAACAGAGCCCAGCTAGCTCAAGCTTGCAATTTTGCAAGAAAAAATCTGTATGCCTGTTAGAACTGAAAAAGCTTCAGAATGTTTGTGCTGTCTTAATTAAAATGTAGCTGCGAAACTGCAAAATCAACAGAAGTCTCCTAGAACATGTGATCTTGTCCTTGAATTACTATTCCTTGAACTTTATTCTGAAGATTTCAGAGCTATTTCAGTAGTAAGACTTAAGACTTGAACACAAGGTACTCTGTTTTTAGTGGAGTGTTTCATGTCAGACTGGTAACTGAGATTGCTTTAAATGGCAGGAAGGTGAAAAAATGCATATTCTTCACACTGGTAAGCATTCCTACACATTTCAAGATATAACCCTGTAACTAAACATCAGGAATAAGGTCTTTCCTTTCATGTTCAGAAATTTCATTTACCTAGCAGAAATTTCATTTACCTAGCGATGTTGCTGGCAGGTGGTAAGAGTAGAAGAACATGCAAACAAATCAAGAGACTGCACAGAGGGTTTCTGGCTTGTGATCCATATGGAAAACTCAGTGTGCTTTTTAAGGCTCTGATTAAGCTAAACAGAGAAGTATGTTATAATACCAATATTTAGTCACTTTTCTGATGATACCAGGCTACTTCAAGGCTTTTTAGTGAGAAGTCTAGTGGAAAAAGTAGCAAATAAGATATGAATTCCCATTTTGCAGAATAAATACCTAAACAAAAGAAGGAGTTTTAATTAGATGGTAAAAATTTTTCACCGTGTAAATGGTTGGCGTTATCAATCTTGCCAAAATACAGCTGCACTTAAAGACCATAATTAATATTAAACAAAAGATCATTCCAGCAAATTAAGTTAAAAACAATTAAATTAATTGAAAAATAAACTAGTTAGCATACAGCACAAAATTCTACAATGGTGCATAGTTACCTTGTGTTACTACCAGCTGAAGATGGGAAAGAATAAAGAATGACAGACTAACCAGCACAGCTACAATGTGAGCATGCAAACAATTATCTTCAGTTAAATAATGCTCTAACACTAAGCAATCTTCCTCCAGACATCTCTACACTCACAAGAATAGCTAAGCACCACCATTTTTTCAGTTCATTTTTTAAAAGCCAGGAAGAAATGCAGCACTGAAATTCACATCGATCTGCTCCCACTTGGTTTTGCTTCATAAAACCAAATTAATCATTCAACTGCCTAGTGCAACACAAAGATCCAAATCAAACATTAATGCAGCATCCAACCACAAACAAAGTTACCTTAGAAGCAAAGAAAGCTAGCAATAAAAGGCAGCTAATTGTTCCCTAAATCACTAGATCATAATCTCTTCAGTGAAAGAGACTGTTCTGACAATGCAAAACAAGATTGATCATAAGTTTTGGATGCTGCTTTCAACACCAGTGAAGACTGGATACGTAAAACATTTATATACGTTTTTTGGCAGGGCATCTGTAACCTGTGTGGATGCAGACCTCAATAAGCATAAAAGCTGGTCAAGGGCACAGCAGTGTCACAAGCGAGAAATGGACAAGCTGAACAGAGGTATGTTCAGGCCGCACAGCTGCAGACTGAGTTATCAGGCCCACCGGACACCTGCTGGAACAAAGTTCCCTTCTATGCAGACACTGCTCTGCCATATCAGGCCCCTTCACAGAGCAGTGAAGCATATCTGCTCTAAGTGCGTACACACCCTAGTATTTTCTTTTAGGTCAGTTTGTATCAATAGAGGGCTGAAGAGAGTTGCTCTGTGTTCTCTCTCATGTAGCTATAAACTGCTTCTGCCTGACCTGAATCTGCAATGGAGATTGCGACACCTGCAAGTAAGGTGGCCTGAGGGACAATCCAGACGGCCTTCATTCACTCTCCTGTTCCTAGTAGCCTGTGACATGTGTTTTAGTTTTCAGAGTTTACCACTTATTAGGATAAACAAGAAACCAAAATTTGAATTAAGATAAAGGCAGCTATGGGAGAGAAGAAACAATTAACTTTTTTGTAGCAACTACAAAACACCAACTGCAGTTTGGATTCAGTGAGAAGGAAGTCTGTTGGCAGATAAAGGAAATAACTCCACAATTCAGAACAGCAATGGTAAGTAGGAAGAAGAGAGCCTACCTAATGAGATGACAGACTCCAACACAAGGAGTTCTTAAGTGTGGTGAGGAAAATGCACAACAAGGAAGAGACATTTTAGTTTGTCCAGAATGTCTGCTTCTCATGTTGGTTGAAGAGTTTTGGAAAGGCAGTCAAGGATGCAACAGTAGAAGAGGTATTCTCACACCCCTGATGGTATCGGCTGTAGCCACAAGAGAATGACCATAACAGAAACAGGTATGTCCTAAGGTAGATGCAAACAAAGAATTAACACTTCAGCTTGGTTAAAGCATAAATAGTTTAAGAATGCACAAGCCCAGTGGTGGGACTCTCAGCAGCTCGGTGAATGTTAAATGCTAAGAATGTTAAATGCTAAAGAACCTGAGACTACCTTAGGTCCTGCATAACATTAAGTATTGCTCACGTTAATTCATGTTTTGCTGTTTCAGTGAACTGTTAAACACAGCTAAGATTCAAAATACATGACAGGCTTATCAAGGAATGAAAATTACAGCACTAAGGGCCACTAAAGAATATTGGCAAATTACAAGTGGAAAGAGCTTCTCTTTCAGTATTGATTAAATATTATCTGGAAAATAAGTGTTGAAGTAACTGGTTCTCACTAGCATAATTATGTACTTGGTGCATTCCCTCCTCTTCTTTCACTCCCCAACCCAATGACCAAATTCACTTAGATAACACAAAAAACCACAAAGGTAGTTGTATGAAGACAGAGGGTCCTCCACAAAACCAAGATTTGTTTATGTTAGTGCAGAGCTTAAGCAAAAATCTGACAGTCTCTGACAGCTCTGTCAACAGAGGTGATATGCTCAAGTCACCTAAATATAAACCCTTATTCAATCAGCCTAGTCCAAAACATCTGTGAGGGACTGATTCTCCTTATGATGAAGCTTGGGACTTAACATACACTGTCTGATGATCCTCTGTCAATCCATCACAGCCCACGGAAGTGCTGTATCCATTAGCCGGAAAAGGCCTGGGGCTCATTGATCTAATTCGGATATTACAATATTCCCACCCATTAAGAGCTACAAACCAAAACCAGGTCAAACAATTACATTCACAAGCGACTCAATTCTAGTAAACATCCACATGTGACTTTCTGCAACTAATACAAATAAGATGTAAAAGTAAAGAGCTTTTCTTTGACTAGTATTTACTAAGTTCCACAAGACATGCACTAAAACGTCTCCAACAGCACTCGCATTCCTGACAGAGCTTAAACACTACCACAAAGTCATGCCAGATAGGTTTGAAGCAGTTTATAGGATTCCAACAGTTCCTTATGTCTCACACAAATTTAAGGCATAAATGATCCTTCCATGGGGCTCTGTGCAGGACTCGAGAGCCTCAAGTTCCATCTCAATCTACTTAGCATTTTTTGTCAAAAAGGGATTCTAACTATAAGTGCCAAACGTATAGTTCAGCCACAGAACACTAACTAGCAATTCAGATGTAGCATAGTAACTCTAAGAATAAGATAGATGCAAGACTTATTTTGAGCAATTGTAGAGAAGAGCATGTGAACTGAACAGCATCTTTTCAGACAGCAAGTACTCACTGTCCTACACTTCAGTAGCTGCTAGATGAGCTCTGCAGATGTGGTTGGATGTACAGTTACTGTTCTATTCCTTGCACTCTACAGTTATTACGGAACCAAAGGAAATCACACAAAGCAAAAAGCCACACGCACCTGTTAGGTAAGAGATAAAAATAAGGTACAGGCACAGCATAAGCCATGCCATATTAAAAAGTCAATTTTAGACTGTCCTAACCCACCACTAGGAAAGGGGAAAATGGCACAAGATGAAATTCAAAAAAGTAATTAAACTTCCAGTGGCCTTTAAGGAAGAAACCACTTGAAAGAGCAGTAAGAAGAAAATTCTTCAAACATAACTGACCAATGGAGGCACAACAATTTAGAAAGACAAGAGCACAAGAAAGTGAAGTGCAGGAGTACCTCAGTTACATGTAGTGCACAATCAAAAATATAGTATCAGAGTAAGAGCTAATGCAGAAACACACGCATGGGAAAGCAGGGCTTATAACTTTGTCAAAGGTTTAGAAGAATTTAAGTGTTATCTGTCACAAAGGAAGACAAGTAATTTTTCTGCTGCAAATCAAACCTAAGCAAAACTGGCAGAATTTAAGACAAGGAATTAAGTACCTTCAAGTTTACAAATAGTAGAGCTGTCAAAGACAAGGAATCTGCAGAACATTTCCATGTTTTACCAGACAGTAAACTTTGTTTAACAAGATACCACAAAAGGAACAGAAGTAGGACTGAAGAGGAGGGGAGAGGAAGATCAGTTCCACAGCAGGTACAAGGAGATAATGAACAGAGGCCTGCAAGACCGCATATGCCAAAGAAATAAAATGGAGAGCAGTTGCTTAAAAGTTGCAGTTCATCATGTTACTTCATACACGGAATTCCTACAGTTCTGCTAAGCTGCTAACAAGCCACCGCTTTTCACCATGCAACAGTTCATTCCCCTTGTACACCTCCCTGTCTTCTCTTGAGTCGGTGTGGTTTCCCCAGGGTGAAAAGTTTGATGCTACTGTGCCAATTGCTTTTGTAGAAAGCTTAAGGACCAAAGCTGCATAGCTTTTGTGACCTTTAAGAAATAGAGGACCTGGTCTTTCTAAGCCACACATAGGAAACTTAAACAGACTAAGTGTAAAAGCAAACAGATAAAAATGCACTTGAAGTGGTTACAGAGGTGCAAGATCTACAAATCTATCTAATCATTACAAACATTTTAGAGCAGCACTACACAAAAATTACACTCAGTGACAGAAAAAAATGTTGCAAGCAATAGACTTCACAAGCCATAGCGCAGCACCCCAATTAAAGGGCCACAAACTCTACAGTGAGGGACAAGGTTCAGTATTCCTTAGGAGGCTCTAGTTCAGTCATGGTATTCAGTAGTAACTTACCTGCTCTTCCTAGAATTAACAAAAAACTTTTACACTGCATGAAATTTACTGAGTTAAAAATGTGTGAATCAAGGATTAATATTGATCATATAGAGCTACTAGAAACATTTGGAATGGGACTGAAAATCTAATTAGAAAAAAATAATCACACACTAGGTATCTGCGAACACATACATCAAAATGGGATAGTATTGTTCGATGTAATGCACGGCAAAGGAGACAAACAGTGCAGATCCTCTCGCTTTGCCTTGACCGCGTAGGATTCCACCTGGAAACTAAACTGGACAGAAGAGCTCATACGCTATTTCCCTGCAGTTTTTCTTCTCACCTCCATTCCTTTTATTTGTGCCTTTCACCTTTCACCACATTTTTTCTTCCTCTCTTATTCATGGAGGCCCTATGTACTAATTCAATTCATTCATTCTGAACCACAATAGTCTTATTCCATAATTCTCTGCCCTGCTCCAGCCCTCACCTGCTCATCTGTCCCAAGCTTTCAGTATCTAAAATACAGCAGAGAAAGTAGTACTTATGGACAGGCTTTTCCCCCCAACATTCTAACTTCTAGTATATGATTGCTAAGGTAACTTTTGTATTAATATCGTTCATAAAATCTCAGGGCTAGCTACCAGCTATTAGAGTTCATACTTGGAAAAGTATGCTGAATTTGATCATTTCTGGAGTAAGCTCCTGACCCTTCATTTAGAACTCTTACCAGCACAATTTTAAATTTTTTTTTTTTTTTTTTTTTTACTCACTTGGCCACAGACTGGATAACTTTAGAAGATGTATCCTTAATATTAGTGAAAAATCGCTCTGTTCCACCCCTCAGAATATCAAAGAACCCTCCATAAGTCTGGTCACACTCCGCAACGGTCAGGCCTAGAGTAGTCGAATAAAAATAATTGTACTTTAAATCATATCCTGGAATGGGCTCCATACTAAAGCAAGTTGCCTACAAAGCTGGAAGTGAATGCGCGTACAAGCTACACCTTGCTGTAAGGCTCACAGTTCTAAAGGTCTCCTTAACTATGACCTATGCAAAAACCAGTACTTTCTGCGGTCAGGAAGTACTAGCAAACTATTTAACACATTGTTTAATTGACTGTTTGCATTTAAGAGAAAACAAGGTAAAAAATTTCTGAAAGTAAAGCATTTCACATTGCCAGTGCAGCAAAATACTGTCTTTTTTTAGTATCAGTCTCTTAAAGTGCAGCTTATCATTAGCAAATCTACTTAAGCACACCCCCATAGAGACATTTTAATGTGGGGCTTCAAAAACAGCTGGCACTATTAAGTTATTTTTTAAGCACAACATCCCAGCTAGCACAGAATCCCAGCAAAATATCCCTATTAATACAATTGTATACAACAAACAGTACTCATTCTGGCACAAAACAGATGGCCAGACAGCCTTTTGATTATAACCCTATTAGGAAGCTGGCTTCTTCCACAGAAATTGATATACAGATAACATTACTGCAATAAATATTACCCAATTTTAAAAGTTTCTCTGGATCATTAATACCCTTTGTCTCATTCACAATTCAGCATAAGTAATATCAAGCAAGAAATACCAAGCTGGAAGGAAAATTAAATACAGTATGAAATATTCCTTTGATATCTTCTACATTAATTAAATGTTCCATATTAATATATGATAAGATGGGTGCAGAAATCGCCTTTTAATAAGAAATTAGATGCAAATAAGCCTATCAAGCTTCTCATTTTCTTTACTATATTAAGTGCAAGTATTTTCAACTGAATGAACTCTGGAATATCTACTTTTACAGAACGGGTTTGTCAGCTTTTAACTGTGTGATTTTGGAGGCGTGTTTTGGTTGACTCAATTTAGTACCTCTAGTCCAACTACTGTTTTTTCTCAGATGGTACCACAACTCCTTCTCCTCACCATTGACGTCCTATGATGCAACCATCTCCTGAAGTCCTCCCTGCCCAATTCTCCCACAATTAGCTGGGCCCAGTGGCTATTTCTGAAAGTACTGACTGATTAGCCAACAAACTGAGTTTAAGGTGCTGCTTTTTCCCTTTGAGACTGTCAGACATGAGTCTGACATGAGTCTTTTGGAAGTGATGAAACTAAATAGCTTTAGATTATGATCACTGTCAGATGCGCTTCAAACTATCAGGGAGGGCCAAAAGTCTTTTTGGGGAGGAGAGAGGGACTCCAGATGCTTACAAAAGTACTTCTTCCTCATACAGGCTTTTCATAGGCTAAAATAAATACATGTCAGATCAGCGACTCCTTAGCATTAATGAACTTCTGCAGTCGTAGTCAAAACCCCTGCAATTGCTTCAGTATTTCTTTATTGGACCACCTCAATAGTTAGACACCAACAAGCCCATTTTAGCATAAAGTTATACCAAAAGCCACAGAATGGCTGCTATCTTTTTAAGTTGTAACATATCTGATGTTAAGTAGTTCTTCTTGGAAAGCAAAGACAACTGTCACTTTCTTACACCAAAGATCCAATATTGTGCAGGATATGTACTGATTTCAGTAACTTCTGCCACAAAGTAACAAGGTTCAGTTAAAATACAGCACTTCTGAGAAGATTTTTAACAGTTTAAATTTAAACTCCTCTTAAATTCTCCTCTTTACACAAGACACTCCAATATCATTGCCTCATGGAATCGGAAAGTTTTGGGTTTAAAATAAGACATTTTTATTTGTTTGTCATAACATGAAGATTACTTTCTCTACAGCTATTGTTCTTGAGAACATTATCACTTATTGTATGCACCACTTTCATCAAGTTTTAGTTCACTTATTTCAACTCTCCCGCCTCTACAAGTCAATAATGCATTTTAGTTTCAATTATTTTACACAGGAAACAATTTTATCTCGCCCAGCAATGAACTTGAGAAATTCACAATTGCATGTATCAACATACCACCAAATCCTGCGAAAAATAAAACAAGGTTAGAAACAGTGATATAAATGCAAAATAGCTAGTACTTGTGCAAAACATCTAAAACCATCACATGATTTTTTTTCACATAGAAGACACACAACTGGTTTTACACTAGGATGATGTCTCTTTCTGCATTTACCTGCATTGTACATATTGTTGAGCTGTCCTGCAGGCTTGGAGCTCTGTGAAATGGAGGTCACAGATGTCCGAGGCTGAGCATTGTTTCCATAGCCTCCATTTTGTTCCAGGAGCTGAGGAGATTAATACTCACTATTAGTATTTTCTTGCCAATTTAGCCAACTTGTTATGCTTTGTAAATTACTCTTACTTGGTGAGAACAAGCAAGCTGAATGTCAGGAGAGAGCTGGGAAGTTAAGATACACCAGTTGATTCACTTGCAGTATTGTGCAAATTAAGCATTGAACAGAAGACACCTTAAGTGGGTTTCAAGTTAGTGTAGGCAGAGCCTTCATATACTAGATTTTTCTGTACAAGTTAATTATGATTAAATGCAGCATGCCCATTTGTGAACTAAAGAATGACCCAAGATCACGAGAAGTTTTTCAACAAGCAGTAAGAACTACAAGTAGTTTTCTTTAATGTCATGCAAGCTCTGTGCTTTTAAAAGGCATCTTTTCAAAGGTTCTACAACTGAAACAAATCAATTCAATTGCATTTCAAAACAAGATAGTGTGAAATTTTCAACAGACTAAGGAACAGGGGACCTGTTACTAAACTCACACTCACTGGATAAGAGAGGAGAGAAAGGAGACCTGATCAATAATATTCCTTATAAGACATCTTTACCTCTGTGATGGGGGATTTAGGATTCACATTCCTAGCTGCTGCAATCTCCTGCAGTTGATTCACAAGTTCAGTGATTGACAATCTCTCCTCTGGGTTCACCTTCAAAGTGGAGCCTAAAAAAGGAGATTCAGACGATGTAACAGATACCCTTCAGAGCTTTTCTCCCAGCAGAGATTAATAGTTTCTTCAGTGCACTCCAGCGCAATAATCAAACACGTGAACAGAGTGGAGCAACCGCTAAATCCATACCCAAATATCATTGTCATAACAGGTATCCATGAAAAAACACCATTTAGGGTTAAGAATATTTCAAAGAATATACTTTAGGATCAGTTAATGAATAACCTCAAAAGTAACTTTATATACAATAGTGTTGGAACTGGAGATACATTGCTGGCACTGGAATTACAGTTTCCAGTAATCTATTTGAAATCTAAAGAAAACAGAATTTCTAAAGCAAATTCAAAGAAACCAAATCAAAACACTAGTTGTTCCTATGGACTAATTCAGATCCTAAATAAGACAGGTAACAGCACTAAAAAACCAAAAGTTTCATTTAAAATTTCCAAGTTTTTTGATAATGGATTAAAATTTTTCATAAAACAAGAAGTTGTTACAGTTAACCTTTTTCACCATCACATGTCAAAACATTTAACTACCAGTAATACAACACTGTCAATAATAAGATGTATCCATAAAGACACCAAATTAAGTAACATTGCAAACTTACGAATGAGATCATGAAACACAGAATAGCGCGTGTCATTTTGTGGGATGATGTATTTCCCATTGACTATGCGAAGTTTAGCTCCATCCTCAAATGGATGTTGTCTAAAGCACAGCAAGTACAGGATACAGCCCAGAGCCTACAGAGAGATAAAGGCAGAAATATTTCATAGAATCATGGAATCATTTAGGCTGGAAAAGACCCTTAAGATCACTGAGTTCAACCGTTAACCTAACGCTGCCAAGTCCACCACGGAACCATGTCCTTAAGTGCCATGTCTACACATCTTTTAAATGCCTCCAGGGATGGTGACTCACCCCTGGCCAGCCTGTTCCAATGCTTGATAACCCTTTCAGTGAAGAAATTTTTCCTAATATCCAATCTAAATCTCCCTTGGCGCAACCTGAGGCCATTTGCTCTTGTCCTACCTCTTGCTACTTGAGAAAAGAGACTGACACCCACCTCTCTACAACCTCCTTCCAGGTAGTTGCACAGAGCGACAAGGTCTCCCCTAAGCCTCCTCCTTTTCTCCAGGCTAAGCAATCCCAGTTCCCTCAGCAACTCCTCCTAAGACTTGTGCTCTAGACCCTTCACCAGCTTCGTTGCCCTTCTCTGGACATGCTCCAGCACCTCAATGTCCTTCTTGTAGTGAGGGGCCCAAAACTGAACACAGGATTCAAGGTGTGGCCTCACCAGTGTCAAATACAAAGGGACAATCACTTCCCAAGTCCTGCTGGTCACGCTACTTCTGACACAAGCCAGGATGTTATTGGCCTTCTTGGCCACCTGGGCACACTGCCAGATCATATTCAGCTGGCCATATTCAGCTGTCCAACACCCCCAGGTGCTTTTCCGCCAAGCAGCTTTCCAGCCACTCTTCCCCAAGCCTGTAGCGTTGCATGGGGTTGTTGTGACCCAAGCGCAGGACCCAGCACTTAGTGGTATTGAACCTTGCACAACTGGCCTCAAGCCCATCGATCCAGCCTGTCCAGATCCCTCTGGAGAGCCTTCCTACCCTCAAGCAGATCAACACTCCCACCCAACTTGGTGTCATCTGCAAACTTAATGAGGGTGCACTCAATCCCCTCATCCAGATCATTGATAAAGATATTGAACAGAACTGGCCCCAATACTGAGCCCTGGGAACACCACTTGTGAACAGCTGCCAACTAGATTTAAGTTCATTCACCACAACTCTTGGGCCCAGCCACCGCGCCATTTTTTTACCCAGCAAACAGTACACAGATGTCATGGTGGTGTCACAGCATGTAGAACGTTGGTGACACCACCAGCCCAGGATGGCTATGCCAGTCCAGGCTGGCAGATGAGCAGGCAGGTGAACAAGGGCAGGGAGGGGAGGGCACAGAGGCAGGGGCTCCAATGGTGATGGTGGGTGGCTGCTTTGTACTATAGTTGGACATCCAGACATGGAAACAACCAGACCACAGCACACTCCTGTCTTCTTCCTCCTCTGCCACCGAGCTGGAGAGTTGCCAACAGTCTACAGGACAGATAAGATAGCACCAACCCCTACGCCATGGTGGTCTTACAGGGAGCTGGAAGCTCCCCAAAACCACAGGCAAAGGGAGCTCTGTGCCCTTTTTCACTGGATACCCTGGGACTGAGCTCCTGGCACTGGCCCTAGTGATGTAGTGGCTATGTCAGTGGGCAAAATGCTGGTGGTGGCCAGCATTTTTGGCCCAGGATGGGTGTCTCCTGGCCGTCAGGGAGGCATGGAATGGACAACCTTGGTGTAAGGCTGGGAGGGCCCCACGCAGGGAGGCAGCAGCAACAGAGCACGGCTGCTTCAGTTGGTGGTTCTGTCTTTGACAGCTGCAGCCCCAGACAGGGACATGAGCAGATCATGGCACACTTCTGTCTTCTTCCTCCTCCACCACTCAAAGGAGTGTTGCAACTTTATACAAGAATATTGACCCAAGGATAAAGAAACATCTTATCTTGTACCTCTACACCTTATCTTGTATCCTGTGATAGATATCATCATGGTCGCACAGGAAGCTGGAAGGTTGCCACAGCTGTGGACAAAAGGAGCTCTGCAGCACCCATATTCTTTTTGTGTAACTTATCACAGAATGAAAAAAGTCTATAAATACGAATTTTCTGATTCATGAACCCATTGGCTGGTTCTTCTTGTTTGTGCTGTCTTTAATTCAGGCAATGATACTTAAAGCAGAATTTTAGACCATGACATTGATTAAGCTTCCTAATACTGCTTGCAAATCACAGGTTTTAATCGTCAACTCCTGAGTGATGCAACTTTCTATATGTTCCCAGTGCTTTAGAGACCAGTGTGAAGACACTCCTTTAGAAACAATTAGTTTTGATGTTTCTCTGAGGACAGAACACTTAGTGAAACATTAATTTGTTTGGCATGTCAATTAGAGAGCTCCAAGCTGCAATACTGCTATTAAACAAGGTTTGTGGGGTTTTTTCCCTTTCATGGAAGTTTTCAGGTTCAGGGATTCTCCTATTCCTGTCTTTTAAAAAATCATTACAATAAATCCATTGTATAAATTTCACAGTATACAAAAATGAGTAGGCTTGCAACACTGAACACGTACAGGAACAGGATTTTTCTTACAAAAAGGCTCCGAAGTTTTATTTCATATCTTCATGCTGTGCTTCAAAGAGACTAATTTTATTTGTAGGGACAGAATTTGGTCTTTCGTATTTCTAACTCAGACACATTCTGTTACACAATGCACCAGCTAGGTAAGCATTTCAGTGTTAATCAATTTGTTTAAATGACACTAGGGGGACACAACATTATCTCTAAAATGTTTGTTGTGATAAAGCTTTGAAGAAAATAAAATGAGGGTCCCTTTATTTCCTACAATCAGAAGGTTATTCAAGTCTTATAACAAATAAAATTTAATATCATTTTCAGACAGGTTCATTCACGCCTCAAAAATCAGAAAACCAGGACTACCACATCCTGAGAACTTTCAAATTCTTTGGTGTGCCCAAAATTGAGACCTGTGCAACCTGACAAGGCAACAACGACCAAAGCCAGAAGTCAGTTTTGAATTCTAATCTCTGAATAGTCCAGGTGTTACGTATTAGTTAGGATAATTTCATCTGTTACTTAAGTAAATGGAAGTTGATATATATATTTTCATATAAAATAACATATGAAATATACTGACAGAGTTATGCTATTGTAATAGAACCACGTTCCATCTGGTCCGTAACAGCTTGATAATAAACCATCCAATACCTCCAAGAAAGTGTTTGCACAAGAGAGTGGACAATTCCTCCTCAAAGTTTCTTCTAAATCCCAGCTTAGCTGCTTGAGCATATGGGCTTTTATAGCCCCCACAAATAAAACAAGCCAGTGAAGACACTAGCTAAGAAATCTGCTCACTGTCTCCCGTCCTCTGCATGCACTGTCTCCAACGGCCCTCAGTTGTCAATTTATCCCAAGAACAGTTTCAAAGATTTGAATGTTATTAAAATCTCAAAGGTTTGAGATTTAGTTACTCCAAAATACTTACTAAGTCTCTCAATCCAGGGCCAGAAATAAACTGCATACATTAATTCTGTATTATTGTATAGCAAGTACATTTTTTGTCAGTCTGTGGATAAAAAGCTCTCCATAATGTATACACTGAAGCATCATAATTAATGAATCCAGAAGAAAGTACAGAAAATGCCACCTACTCTGCCACAGAAATGCCTGCAAGTAAGACAGATCATAATTTAATTGGAGGAACAAAACTACTCCCTGTGCAGTCCGAGACACCATGCACAGAGAAGACAGCATCCACAGCCACACGGGGGGAAAAAAAGCACAAAGGCAATCAGCTGAACACACGGGAAGTGAAGAGACCACTTAAATTTGATCTTTGCTTTAATTGCTAGAGAATGTTTTTCATTCTCTCTGCTTTATCTGTAACTTAGGATTGTAACAGTGATATTCTGAGTATTTTAAACACCAACTGTGATTCAATTTGGCTAAAAGGCAATTCCAGTTGCAGCAAGGCAATTCCTCAAAGCCAACACCATCCAGATAGTCTCAGCATCGATACACTTAACAGAAGAGCCCATTTCCCCAAGGTGTTGCCCCAAAGCTGCAGACAGTCCCTCTACAGAAGCTGCCTGTCTCAGTCCGAGCACTCACTTGCCAGCAGGTAAAAAACCAGCATGACAAAGTGACCAAAAATAACTAGGAATAACTTTTTGACCTGCTGCTGGGCCTTTTCCAGCAGCTAATTTAACAGGGACAGCGTGGTTTTTCAGGGGTTGTGGTAGTGTTTGGGGGAGTAATTGTTTGAAACAAATCAAAATGCTGTTATTTTTCCACTGACCAGCTTCAGGCAATAAGCAGTACACTTAAAATGACAAAAAGTTCTACAGTATAGCTGCAGGATGACACACAGGTATTACACTGAAGTACTTTCTGAATAAAATTAAACTACGTGAAATCTAAAGACATCATTCAGCTCACACAGAATTAAAACCTCCAAGATGTCTTGCACTGACTAGAAGAATTTTTTGCCAGGTATTGGTGAGGAGAATCCAACTTTGAAATTTTGCTCCTTAAACATATTCCAAAGCACCCTCTTCGGCTTTTTCAGAAATTTTTAAGAGTGGGAGTGTATGAAGGGCTTTCCAAGGCAAAGATAATTTCAATGGAGAAAAATCTTTATGGCAAGGCAAAGCCTGTCATTTCAGTGGAATTCAGTTGAACTTCAGTTCAGGAAATCACATTAATTCAGGAAAAAAGGAACTAAAGGTATTTGGGTTTAGTGTTTATTTTCTGAAGGTCTCTAGACTTAGGTAGGAAATGTACAAAAGCAGTTGGCCAAGCCTAAGAACCTCTGATCTTACAATAAATATCTAATCACATTCTCATTGTGGAGTCTATGTGGTTGATAACTAATGTTTCATCTATGCTGCTGTTCTAAGTAACACATTTCTATGTCCTTTATACTTTTAAGCTCACAGTGACAAGCACACTGACCGCAACCACAGGTATTACTCACCCTATCTGCTTTCTTGGGAAAACTGTTTTGTTTATCCTAACCACAAACTACAAGATCAGTTATGCTTCCTGAGACAGTCCCATATTCCATTGCCAAATACTTTGCATGTTTTCACTAAACCCAGAGCGTAAAGGGAAAAACATGTTCTAATGAAGTAATGGTACAGGTCTTCCAAAGACACAGCAGAAGACAACCACCATGTTAATACTAACAGATACAGAGTTATTCTAAACAAAAAAATAAATTACAACTAACCTTTTGAGTGAGGCTTTTGTTAAATGCATTTCTAGCTTTTGTTTAACTGGACGTAATCTTGCCTCAGACTGCCAGTATTTAACTCATGTGAAGTGACCAAATGGTCAGAAAAATGTATTTTTCTTGGTATTTCTTCACATGCCAGAAGAAAATCGCCAACAACTGTAGAAGCTGAGTAAGAGTTTCTGCAATCCCTTGTAACTAATTTAAGAAAGTTCTGAGATTCCAAATAAAAACTTATAAAGCACCAGTATTACATTTTCTCAATTTGTCTTTTCACAAACTGCCAATACAGATAACAGCTGAACAGTTTGACCCCTGCCTCTGTAAAAAACATGCAATAAACTAAGTTCCTAAGCACAAAGTCACTGGGCCGTACCTCAGTACTATTACAGTATCACACAACTGAAAAAGGTACAACTGAGGATTTAATATTTACCTTTAATTCTGGCTACAGATTTTTCAGTGAATGTTAATAGTTTATCATTCTTTCTATACAAAGCATGAATGATCTCTACATCATTCTTGTCCTTGCTATCTGTCAGTATTTTATCTAAGCGTAATACGTACACGTAACCATTCTGAACTCCGCAGTAGGCTGTCCCAGGATTACATGCATGGCAGAGCATGAAAAGCAAGAATTTGAATCTAAGAACTGTAAGTATTGTGGCTCTATGGTGGCAAGCTCCGACCAGGCAACAGTTCTACTGAACGTCAAAAAAGTTCAGCATTGCCTCTTACAGTCAAGCTACATCTGGGAGAAAATCTCAAATACTACATCTCATTCTTTTAATATTTAGATACACAGTTCATACTATTTAAGTTTATTTTGACATAAGACAGTCTATCCTATGTTTATTTTGGTGCTTTTATTTATTTAATTAACAAATTAACATGAAGACTGCACAATCAGTTTCACTATGACATAAGCAGCTATAATACACCAAGAGAAAAATTTCTTACCCAAATGTCCTGTTTTTCACCAATTGGAAAATTTGAATACAAGTCTATCATTTCTGGTGTCCTGTACATTGGCGTTGTATTCCTTGTGATCTGCAGAAGACAGAATTTCTTGAAACTTGAATAAGCTATAATGGCATTCAGCCAAGGAAACAGCCCTCCATGTACAGTGGATAGCATTCTCACTTTGAAAGTTAATTTCAGAAATACTTGTCAAGGTAGAAGCCATCAATTGAATCCTGCAATAGTCACAACAGCTTTGATATGAGGCCTGATAAAGACAGTAGTACTCAAATGAGTAACATTGTGATATTCAAGAGTCCTTCCAAACTGCAAAGCATGTAAAGTACAATGACTGTTCTACATGACACAAAAAGGGATATGGACACAAATACAGAAAATCAACAATAAACCAAGAAGTGAGTTCATGCTCCAGTGTGCATTTCTCACTTCCTCATCACACTTAATGACAGTGCAGACACATCCAAAGATTTAAGCTATGTCCACGAGGATCCCTGAAGAGACCTTTTCTGCTATCTTTTTGCATAGACTATACAAGACAGTGGTACAACATCATCTTTTCTTCTCCAGAAACCAATGGATTGCTCTCCAAGGATGCTGGATTTCAAAACAGGGATAGTTTACAGAGACTCATGATATCAGAAGTTGCACACATGAATTAAGTGTCACTGTATTTCTCCATACTTAAAAGTCTGAGTCCAGTTGATGTACTACATTAGATTTACCAGCATTACTCTCAAGTCAAAACTAAGAACAAATGCACTTTGCAAAACACACTGCATGCTTAACACTGTCACTGTAGCCCTAGAGGCACTGCAATACTGCCTATTCAAATTCTACTGAGTAGACCTGCCACTTCTTTATATATCATTCAAGTGAGAAAAACAGATGAGAAGGTGGGAATCACTTCGGCATAACCAATTTTTTACTTCCTGTTAAGAGTGCAATTAGAAAAAGCTCTAGTAATCACTTCTACTTTCACAACAGATTGCAGAATGGACACTGCTCAAGTTGAAGCAGTGTTTGTATATGCAGCTACAGAACACAAGCTATGATTATAACCGCAGACAGTGTTTGAACTCTTCAAAACCAAAGCTTTACGAGCAACATTACAACTGCAACAATCTTCAGTTGTTTTAGAAGTCCCATGAATCAATATCATACTAACAGTAACAGTTAAATAAATCCACTGTTGATATTAAGATTAATCACATTAAAAGAGTCTCACCTCTTCTTCAACCAGTGCTCTCTTCTGTGCAGACCAGTTGTAGTCAGGATAGTAAGCTATAGTTGTAGCACTACCGAAGTCACAAAGTTTAATCGTCCCTTGGTTACTAATAAGCAAGTTTTCCACCTTCAGAAAGAGGTAGAAAAATAAATTAAAGACATCTTTTTTTCTGTACACTAACACACATGTTTTTAAACATCAACTCACTTGTGCATATATATAAAAAAATACTCACTTTAGCCCAGAATGTTGTTTACAGGAGCATAAAGGTTTCAGACAGTACTGTAGATGTATGTGGTGGCAATACAGCCAATTTTTAAAAGGAAGAATTGAAAATGCTATGAGCAGGAAACATGCAAGAGAGCAGGAAATAAACCCCAGGAAAAAGAATCATTTCATTAGTGCCTAAGAGGCCAGTTTTTCAGAGGACCACCTGCAGAAGCAGTACCTTGGAATCCAAATGTTTTCATGCATAAAACTGAACATTCCGTTAGCTTAATTGCAGTGGAGTAGAGGTTAGGACTGCTGTAGACACAAAACAGGAAGGTACTAGTAGAGAAAAAGGCTGCTGGGAGATATGCAGAAAGAGGCACCCGTGACCCTGTGCAGAGACAGAAACCAGCTATTTGAGGACTATGCACTGCCTGAATAGTTAGTCATCATCCCTCCCTTTTCCTACTTCATAAAATCCAGCCTTCCTGGATTGCTAAGTGAAATGGGGAAGAAACTTATGGGGAGGGGAAAAGTGGGCATTGGGCAGAAGTATTGTGCGGTCATAATCACAAAAGGACTGAAAAAGAAAATTTGTATCTCTGTATGAAGTCAGGAAAAGGTGTAAAAGAGGCATACTAGTAACATTACAACACCACACTTCAGACAACTGGGTTTGTCTTCCCTTTCCCTTGGAAACCACATCATCTCTGGACTTCCTTCTGTAAAACCTCAGTTTTCAGAACATCCTACTACCCTCCCTTATGCATGCCCCTTCCAACTTCGTCCACCATAAAATTAATTTTTACTACCCTGCAGGAAGACATAAGCTCTGTTAATGATGTGGTTAGAGCATCGATCTCAATGAGCAATCTGAACTCCCTTCTCTGTTGGATAACCTTTGTTTATCTCCAGGTACAATAAGAACGGTGGCCATTCAACATAAAATTAAATTTATACACTAAAAATGGTCACAGTAAGACCAGAGATCAAGTTTCTGTGCACATATGTTCTGTTTTTTGTGCTTTGGTAAGGGTTGCCAATAATGCAAAACGTTCCAGCAGATTATTCAGATTTTAACAGGCTGTGTGACCTGTATTATGCAGACTAGCTGTGCGCTGCATGGAAAACCTGAAAAGATCGACTTCAGACAATCAAAATACCAGAGAAGTACTGATATTCTACAAATTGCCCTGCAATTAGCTTAGAATTTTTACAACTCTAACTAGCTGGTTTCTCACAGTGCTGTACGCACACATTGTAAGTGCAAACTTCATCCAAAGGGATTCAGGAACAAAGAATGCACTACACTGCCAAGCAAGAGAAGGAAACCATAGGAGGACAGAAACAGCCACTACTATGAAGGTGAACTTGTTTTTAAGCTGCACTGTAGAAGTTCATGAGTCCTTATACTTTTAGTCAAGAAAAATCTATTAGGACTCCCCCCTCGCTGCGCTCCTCCCCAAACGCTACACTAGCATCTCAGGTCTCATTTGAGGTTGGCTCAAAACTTTGACCTACAGTTTTTTACGCTGCTGACCTAAGTTCAGCCTTCTGGAAAGGGAGGCACAGTTAAATGATCCCTATTTGGCTCCTGATTGTAGTAAGGTCTCTGTCTATTGCAGCACAACTATCATTTAATCTGGCTTTGCAGCCCCTGTAACGTGAAACCAACATGAAACCAAATTCCTGCCTTTTTCCATATTTTATCTCTGCCAGGAACTTACGTTACTTGACAAGAAAAAACAGACTTTGAATTACAGCATTAGCTCAAATTCTATGGAGCTGGCTATGTAAGAAATTGTATCTTTATTTGTAAATAGTTTTTTACCCCTTTTTCAGAGAAGAGAAGCACCTTTTCTACAAGCCTTTTTAGGGGATGGTGTATAGAAATTTCAGTGAAGAATAGAAGATTTTATTCTAGAAAGTAACGTGAAGAACTATGCCACCTTGGTTACAATTTCTTTGACGTGATCTAGAAGCCTGCTCAATGGTGCTGAGGAAAAGAAAAAAAGGAGTGCTCCACCATCTATTTTTATATTAAGGGGCTATACTAGTGCCTAACATCAAAGCTTTCAACAACAGGTGAAAACACTTAGCACACATTTACTTTTAAAAGTGGTTTCATTATTCTTTCCTCAAAGTAATCGAGTACATGCTTAATTAAGGATGAACAAGTTTTCCTTTTTTATATTCAGCTGATCAAGCAGGAAACACAGGCATGTGTGAAATTCAGACACTGTTTCAAGAATAAGAATCTTCTTCCTCTTATTTTGTTTATGTTTACGAAGACCACCTCCTTCCACTAGGTTCAAATGTATTTGTAGTACAGCAGAATCTCACTGATGATTAGGGCTCCTTCATCTAAGGTATAGCGTACATGTAAGGTGAACCCCCGCCTTCAAAATACAAAATTCAAACACAGATGCAGTCCTTTCAAATCTCCAAAGTTTCTAAGGGGACAACACTTTCTACAGCATAACCTTATAGCATCTTGGTAAAGGCTAACAGAATGAAGAAACAAAATCTATCACGAATTATACCTACCAAATTTTAAAATTCAAGTTAAAAACAAGCTCTAAAATGCAATGCAAGTTGTTAGTTCAAAAACAAACAGCTTACTACACATTCTCAAAGGCTACGGAGTCTTTCACAGACAATCCAACATTACCTTCTCTTCTCCTTCAAAGCTTCACCTCTTCTATTTAGAAAACCTGCTCACCCCAAAACTGCAACTCACAAGTCATAACTGGTTATTTTATCAAAAGAAAACTACTTGAAAACTAACTTAATCAGCAAACCATGATATACTACTTCTCTGTCAGCTTGTTCAGATAGAGTACAAGCAGTACTAACACCACAAGCACAAGGAAAAGCTGTTGTTTGAAGAGATGCAAGTATTTCAGTGATGACTTCGCTGACATCCAGCAGCCTTGGCAAGGCAATACATGTATGCACTACGCTCAAGGGTGTCCACTGTATTTGATCAACAGCCTTAACACTGATTCAGCCCGACAGGTTCCTTTGCTGCTTAAAAATTCAGCCTTTATTTAAACATTGTAACATACCTTTAAGTCTCTATGGATAATAGGAGGCTTCTGTTTATGCATATGCTGCACTGCTCTGCAGGTCTGATAAAAGATCTTCAAAACTGTGTCACAGGAGATAGGTGCTTTGGATTCCACTTTCTTTAAGAATTCCACTAGCTGTCCTGGAGGATATCAGAGAAATTCACATAAGCACACACAGAACACCATAGATTCTGAAAGCTTGGCATGAATAGACAAATGCTCTTCTCATCAAGGAAGATTTACAATCTTGAGTTGTAGTATTAGATGGATATTCTGAAAACGGCAAATCCACACTGACTGCAGTGCCAAAAGAAATGGTGCTCTAAGGAACTATTCTTCCTCTTCCTTCCTCTGACTAGTCTCAAACACAAAGAACTTAATGATTATCCCATATTTAAGATGAGGTTGAACTCTAGTCTCAAACAACATGATCCTTATCCTATAAAAGATGAGGTTGAGCTCTAGCTCTACTGAACTATGCTATCTTTAAGAGGCTTTCAAAGCTTCTAAGCTGTGAAGCAACCTGTGCAAAACATGCACTGCTAGGAAAAGAAATAAAGTTTACCTTTACACAGCTCTGTAAGCAGAAGAAACTCTCCCTGTCCTGTGTCTGATTCTTCTTTTCCTATAGATGCAGCAGAGCAGAACTGGACAATGTTGGGATGACCTGAAAGTTTCTTCTGGAGATAACAAGGTCAAGGAAGGTGACTGTCAAGTTTATCAATACTATTGTATACAGCAGTTCACAGACATCTCATTTGAAATGTTAGCTTAAAACCACAGACAGCATTACAGCTGCAATTAAAATACTAAGCAGAACAGGGAAATCCATGCCTCAGCTGAAAAAAAAAAAAACAGACTTCAAGGGAAGCCACTGAAGGTAATGTAATAAAAAGCAAAAAATAAAATATTAAAAAAAAATCCTTGTGATTAAGGCTCTGAGGAAACTGGACTTCATAACAGGCCTAGTTACTTCTTTTTGTCTTTTGACAATGGCTGCAAGGCATTAGCACAAGTACCACAGAGACCTTTTAATTATCAGCTGTTTCTCCAGCTGGCTGATCAAGAAAGGGCTATTGTATCAACACCTGTCTTTCCAAAGCAAGTATTAAGTATGTTATGATTTAATTTTAAGTTACTAAAATAAAGTTCAAAACAAATAAAAGCTCTAAAAACCAAGGAACTTATCCTGCCATTATTAGTAATAACTCTTCATACTAAAACCTTTGTCATGTTTCACTTCCAGTTCAAAAATTCAAGGTATCATTTTTGAACTATGTAAAGGGGAGTAAAATGTAAGTGATCTCAACTTCTGGAAGTTACATTGCATTATGTTTGTTTGTGTTGTCCCTGATGCGCATCACCTTGGTCATATACCAAGACTCAAGCCTACGAGACAAACACACACTATTTACAAGATGCATTCATCAAGTCTGAAAAGAAAAAAGCAAAGACATCGTAAGTACAACAAAGCTATAAAAAAAGGGCAAGTTAGACCCACCAAATTAGAATGAATCCAAAGTACTATTTTACATCTTACGCATCTCTTCACAACCTTTTACTCAGACTTGCAGGAATTAATTTCATTTCCCAGTTAGATCTGTGAAAGGAAAGTTAGCAACCGTTAACCTTCGTTCATGTTGTGCATATGTTTTAATGAGTCTGAGCTGTAAAAAAACATCCAAAGAACATTCAGTTCCTTACTTCTGGCAAGATGTAGTCAGAGTAGCTAGGAAATGTATAGTGCTATGGTGTAGTCCGTTCTCTGCAAGTGTACTTCTAGTGAACTGTGTCTAGTGTAAGCTTTTGCCAAACATTTCAGTAATCATAAAAAGAAGTATTTGAGTAGCTTAAAATAAGATCAGTGGTTTTGCCTGGTAACTCAAAATGAAGCTAAATACTCAGGGTGGTAAACAAAACAACAGCATACCACAGCTACTCACTGATTCACAAACTGAGGGTCTTAGAGCAGATGCTGGGGAGCAAATACTGAGTTTACTAAAGCCAAGGACTGAAAACACTCTGATATTACATTATATCCTACCATCTAACATCACTGAAGATGAAAAGGACAACGATGACACTGAGAAACATCTGCTTCTTGTTTCTGATGCATGTATTCTACTGAAATTCCTTCCTTAATATTCAACATTACTTTTAAACACCAGACACATCTGAGGCACAAATTAAGAAACATTGAGAGTAAATACAAAGTTTTTAGTCAAAAAGGCAATAAATCCAGTGCATGTGAGGGAAGTCTGCTTAAGACTTTAATACCATCTGAATAGTCAAAAGGTCTCTTGACCATAGTCACAGGACTGCAAGAAAGCCTAAATAAGAATTTCACTTCTTGCTAGACTACGTACACGACAAAGTCTACACTAGCTACAAAAGTTATCCGCACTAACTTTTAAATTCTCGCTATTTTTGAAGAACTGAACTTGCTGGATGTTGGTGCCAGATTCATGACAGACCACGAACCCAGACCTTCCTCAGAATGTCAGTCCTCTTAAGCAGTGTATGGCATGGAAAAAGCTGAATCTGTAGAGCAGTCCTCCATTTCTCAGAAATGTTTGCTATCAGGCAATTAAATAGAAACATTAAAATACGTTCCAGAAAAGGATACCATAAAACAAACTTCCTGAATGATGGCTTTGTTCTTTTCTTCTTCATTAGACAACAATCTCTGTCAGAAAACAGAATAATTGAGAAGCTATAGTTATTAAAACTTACAGAAAAACAGTGCACAGATTTTTTTTTTCCAGAACACAAATGATAAGCTACAGTCAAAAACCTAAGGAACTGTGATGGGACAGTAAACAAACCACACTTATTGTACATTTGGACATACTGCCATAAACATGGCACCCAGTTTCCCAGCTACCTGTACTCTTCAGGTTTAGTGATAACTGAGCAGTTGTAACCTTTGACACTCAAAGTAACTGCTCTGACAGTTTTCTGTTGTATAAAACACTAAAGTCTCTGGCTACCGCATTGTGCACTGAGAAGGAAAGATTCATCTTCCACCTCAAATCTTTAGGATTTCAACCTTCAACCACTCCAGCCAAAACTTCTACAAATTATGCAGCCCAACTTTTTCAATGGTACCTGAGTAATCAACAGCAAAATCAAAGATGACTATTTCCAATATCACTTGGATTTGGAGTCAACATTTGACTAGAATCAATCTGAGCATTTGCTACAAAAGTACCAGTTTTACAAAACAGAGGAAGTACAGTAATGGTTCATCTTTTATCTATTTTTAAATGGGGCTACTTCTAGGTGACATTTTGAACACACATGCTGAATGCGTTTGGTCACATTTTGTTACTGCAGGATGTGGTATGAAAAGAAAAAACACCAGAGCAAGTAATTACTGGTGGTGTAATGCCATCTTACCTCTCCCACGTCTCATACTACTACCCTTATCACTTTCTCTCCAAGATAGATGTCTTCGCACTGATACAGCCACAGAACACCCCTACTCCAAAAATGAAGCCATTTTGTGGTGAACACAAGTGACATGATTTTTTTTGCAGCAAAATATGACAAAGTAAATGACTTCACTTTATTGTCTTTTCCATAATACTTCAGTTTTTCAGCTGTTACATGATTATGATAAGCCTTCAGAAAACAAGAATCCAGAGGAGTGTCTCTGAAAAGTGCCAGGCTGAATGTTTGATCAATGAGTCGAAGTGTGGAGCATTATTTTTAATATTGATGAAACTTACTCTGGAAGTACAAAGATAGGCTAACCAGTAGGCTAAATCTGCTTCTGAGGAGTGAAAATATTCCTGTACCCCACTTCAGGTAAGTAGGAAAGATTCTTTTTACCCATGCAACAAAATGCTTGGAGCAGGGTCATTAATTTCTAGACTAAATGAAAACAAATAGCAGTAGTACCTAACAGAGCAACTCCCATCTTTGGCATCTAAATATAAAGCGCAGGGTCCTAAGAGGAATGACTGTTCTAAATACAGGTACAGTGTGCTACAAACACCACTTCATGATTCTGCATTTTTCCAAATGACTTGTTCAGTGGTATATATCAAGAATTAACTGTCATGCTAAGGTACCAAGCAAAAAGACAGACCTCGTAAACCTGTAGTGAAGTAAATTCATTTTACCTTTAAAGCATAATCTTTGCCACTTCCAAGATCTTGAGCTTCATAGACAAAAGCAAAACCACCTACAAGAAGAAGACACATTAAGTCAGTTTTAGTTTCAACATTCAGATAAATCATTCTTTTTAGCCTAACAGAGCTAATACATGAATTTAGATGCTTTTCTGAATGTAAGTAGTATACATATATTTCAGGGGCTTGCCAGGAGTATGCCAGGGTAACCTACATACAAGAACTAAAATATTCTCTTCCTCTTTTACACAGGCCAGAACCACACTGACTTCATTACTTCCCTGCATTTTGTTAGTCTATGCAGATTCAGATTTAGATTCTTTGTTAGCATATGCAGATTTCCTATGAAGCAATTTTTTTTAATGCAGGTCCTTATAAAACCAAGATTCAGCACAGCCAATATTACCTAGTGTTTTTAAACAAACTACTTCTTGGTTTTACACTGTTAGGCTTCCTATAAAAATAGCAATAACTAAGGGAGATAAAATGTTAAATATACACCTCCTCATACTTCTAGGATAATTGCCATGCTTCAGGCTTCATATTAAAAGCAGAAAGCATTTTCAAGCACTGAAGCGCACATTTCCAATGAGAGTGATGCCGTTACTAAATTGCAATTTGTCATTCCATACAACATTATTTTCCTTCCAACTCCTTTTGTCAAAATATCCATTTCACCAAACACTACCAACTTACTCAAGAACACTGTGCAAATTTCTACAAAGTAAAAAAGACTAAGAAGTTACAGGTCTGCTGAGTTTCCTCAATTGCTAATTATGTTAATCTAACTGTATCAAAAGAACATATTTGTACAGTTCTACTCCATTTTAAAAATCCTGGTACCACTTCCATTTCTTCTGGGAATGTTGTCCTCGTGGTTACACCATCAAGTGTGGTTGCATATATGCTCTCCATCTATTGCAGAGTATCTCTAGTAGAGTAACAGCCAAAGTGACAAACTTCAGTGCTTGGCCTTTCTGAAGGCCTTTCTGAAGTTATATTAACTCCTTTAATATAAATTCTATTTTCATTGAACTACATAGCTATGTTCTCTCTAGCAATAATTCGGAGAATAAGCACAGAAGATGTCAGTGAACTACAAAATTTTACTGGTCAAAAAGGCTAAGAGAACAGGATAACTAAAGAATGAACCACCACACACAAGAAACAAGTTGACAAGGCACTTTTTTTTTTTTAAAAGATGCAGGATCCAAATCAGTACAGTCACATTAGTACCCAATACCTTCTCTGTGGATAAGGAATACTAACATGAGGCTGAAGTGAACACAGTATTTGCTTTCTGCAATTCAATCAAATACAAGGCTTTTCAAGAAGTGCTCTCAAAAGTTTTACATGGCAGTTGACTACCACAGTGTTCTCCAAGACTCCTGAATGGTGCTGCCCACACATCTTGTTACTTTGCCAGTAGCATCCACAACATGAAACGAATAAATGACAGGCTCCTGGATATTGCCTTTGCTTTTGGTATCCAAAGGGGAACTACACACAAAAACAGCAAAACCAAGAACCCAGTTGCAGGGAGAACAAGCAAAAGAGAGTAACTAGTGCATCATGTAAGAGTTAAAGTATCAGTGAGAACATTGACAGAAGATGACAGACAGCGAGTTCAGTCCCACCACACATTACTCACGCATGCATTGTGCTTACCCATTTACTTTGATTCATTCTGTAAAATCAGGTTCAGTACTTCCCTTAATAGGAAGTTCCCTTAGCTTTTCTAAAGCCCCCAGTGCAAGTGTTCTGACCAGCAATTACAATCAGCTTTTTGGGCACTGATGGGACAGGGGCTGGAGACAAAATGAAGTTCATATTTCCCACCATCTTAGAGTATTACTTGAAGACACTTTGTTCCTTTCTGAATGAGATCATATGCAAGAAAAACATGGTTCTGGACAATGCTATCAGTTATGACTACTGTTTACAGATTTCATAGACCTGGTGAAACAAGCAAGATAATCTGTGAGTCATCCTTCCACTGAAGCTGGGAAACCACAGTTTTTGACTGCTCTACCCAACCAGTTCCTTACTCACATCCAGAGGCATGCCCCAGGTTTCAGAGTCCACTGTTCCACAGAGTTGCAAGCCCCTATACCAGTGTACACCAGTCACTGTACCACAGAGCTACTGCCTCTATGTCTTTGTCCTACACAGATCCCACAGACCTTCTACACAGAGAAAGTACTGCTGGCTCTACAGAAGAAAGTCTTTACATTCATCTTGATAAATATTTCTTTGATTTTATTCTAATAACACTGCAAGCTGCATCTTGAAAATATATGCTTCAATTTACAAAGTTAGGGGCTTCAGGTCAGCACAAATTTCTAGTACACAAAATCACCGCACAGTTACTTTTCTGGAAGGCACTCAAGAGCAAAATGGTGACAGAGGCACCCCAGATTACGGAACGGTTATTCTGCAAGCTTAGCTCAGCTGTCCACACTGCTAAGGGTTCTACCAGGGCTGGAATGCAGCAAGTGTACCCTGCATTTCAAGCAGACACCTTGCTAGCACTTCTACAAATACTAACATCCACAGACCTACATACACACACTCCAAAATATAACCATGCTTCATGCAAATGCATCAAATGCCCTCAAGGAAATTATACAGGTGAAAGCACCTATGCATCAGAATTAACTCATCAAATCAATTCAATCCACCACTTTTAAGCATATATCTGACGAACAACCAAGCTGATCCAAACTCTGAAGAAGGCCCCTAGAAGCAATGCTACCTTTCCAACTATTTCAACTGGTCTGATAAGCTTTCCAACAAGCTGTGCCTCCAACATAAGAAATGCTTACAGTATAGACCAAGTTGCACATTATCACTAAGCTTAATCCTGTTGACACTGAGTACAAAGGATTAAAAGGAGGAATTAGTTTATCCAACTAGAAAAAGATTATAGTAAGTCTTCAAAAAAGATGTATTTCAAATTTTCACGCAAGTGCTGATCATCATACAGCCCTCCCAAAACTCGAGACACCTTCACAGTTGCCCTGAAATTTTCTCTCTCAGTTCGCAAATAATCTTGAAATTCATGCCTAAAACTAGAAATTTATGAAAACTACACAAGTTCATTTCTTGGTGGAAAAGCCTGGTTTTTTAACACTCAGAATCACAGTTACAACCACCTCAGAAAGGCTTCTGAAGTTTCAGTAATTATTGTTGAATTTAAGTGAATCTCACTTCCAATCAAAAAAATTCATTTCAATCCTCTTAATGGCCAGATAGGAATCTGAAGAAATTTTATATTTCGCTTCATAACTACTTCAATGTATACTGGTTGTAAGCTTCAATACTCATTGAAAATCATAAATGTTCATTTTGGACTAGCAGTGCAAGTGAACATTTTGAGCAATGCAAGCCATTTAAAAATGATAAATTCTTCTTATCAACAGAAGTTAATACAAGCTGTGCTTAGTTTAAAGCACAGCTACTTGACTTTAAGTGAAGCATAATTAACCTTATCTGGACATCCGGTGAAATCTGCATACAAAGTGTCCAAACTAAGATCTTGCTGAGATCAAATTTAAAGCTGGCCAGACTCAACTTGTGTATCAGCAAAATAGTTGGTTTAATTACTACATTTTCACAGCATGGGTTAACAAAAGGAAAAGTAATGAAGAGAGTCGTCTTCAAGGTCATTTCAATGGTGGCAAAAGCTCCTAGCAATAGTTATGCAGTAGGATCTCACAATTTATACAGAGGTATTAGAATAGTAAGCGGAAGTGAGAAAATTCATTAAAATAGTGATAGCTTGAGAGTACACAAGTAGCTTAAAAGATGCACTTTTACTTCAGCAATTGTACCTTAAAATCAAGTACTGAAATGTTAAACAGAGTTAAGTTCATTAAACTTTTCAGAACTCCAAACGAAAGCCAGTGGTATCATGCCTGGTTAAATTCCTACTTCACTGCATCCATTTTATAGATAATTTCATTGCTATGGCCTCTAACCTCATCCGTTACAGCTATGCCCCTGTCAAAACATTAGTTTTGAGTAAGTTTCTCATTCTGTCATTTCATTGTTTCACCTGAACACAGTTCAGTTCCATACAACACTGCTCATTCCAGGTGGTGATCGGTTCACTACTACTGCACCGTACACCTGATACCAATTTCAAATCTATGGATTTTCTGGGATACCAAAGGAGGTATAGTAAGTTCTGAAGGTACTTTTAATTTCCTTTTTTTTAAAACCATCTGTTATTAGTGAAAACAATTTTTTCACAAAAGGCAAAATTAGTCCTACTGCTTCATTATTAAAAGCAGTTTCATTTAGGGTTTGATGCTGGCTTCCTTGTAGAGCTAGTCTATTAAAACAGTTTTAATATACCCTGAACAGGGACAACTTTACTGGCAAAACTTCTCCTTTCCCACAAGTTTACTCCAGGCCCTCTGACCAATGTAGTTTGCAATATAATTTGCAAATATGAAAAAAAAAAACCAGCTTCATCTGTGTAACTATAACCACACCAAGGATTTCATAGCCAACACAGCCATGTCAGTCAAGGATTACACTCCTACATCAACATACCTGTATGAACAAACACCTATATAGTAGACTCAACTGAGGCAAACGAGGAAATGAAAGTTAAGAGCAGAAGGACTGCTTTGGTTTCTCTCCCAGGGGTGTAGAAAGAATGTAGTTCTATTTGGTGTCTTTTCACTCATTATTTCCATTCATGTAAATATCTGTAGGTGCTTTTAAGTCAGTTTTCTGAGACTTTTCATATCAGCAAAATCATCTTAGTATTTCCCCATACAGGTTACTAGTGTGTATATATGTAAACACCCATCTCTTGCCCTGAGAGACAAGTTTTTCACTGCTGAAGCATTACACAGTCTTATTTTCAGAACACAGCCTAAGGTCTCAAAAATGGTCTCAGATTATTATTTTGTGCAACAGAAATTACGGCAGAAGAAAACTGGTTTTCTTTCTTTTCTATAGACACAAATATACACATAAGAGGTTCACTACAGAGCACCACACCAACTCATGAAAACCTAGTAGCCGAAGTACAACAG